GGTTTTCGAAAAACTTGCCGATCGTGTAGGCAGTAGCACTTGTCTTGTATTAATTTGCCTGCGCTCGCGTTGGCCTATACTCGACCAACATGTATTGCAGCTTTAAGATAGCAATGGGTACGCCTGGATAGCGGAGCGAGGGGAGGAAGGGCATCATCTGATCAAACGATCACGCTAATGCCTCGTAAACAGTCAGTGTGGACGCACGTGTCTTTTGATCAAAATGACTGCCGAATCACGTATCGCGCTGATGAAAAAGAGGTTTATGAAAGATGAATGTTACAAAGAGTTAATAGAAGTAGTTTCTACGGCAAAAACCACAGGCAGAAATAGTTTTCGCGATCATTGGTTATTGCGATACGATACGATGTGCTTAGCATTAACCAGAAAGGTAAGTTTATTTTTCTTGTGAATGGAGCTATAAGCAATATTATTTAATACGCACGTGATAGCGATAGGGAGATATGGAGTCACTACAAAAATATTACACGTAAGGATACAGAAACTTATCTTGAACTTTGTAAACCATGCCGTGTCATTGTATACTTTTCCTAGGAGTTGTTGTATACAATTCCTAGGTTTCACACATTTCCGGTAACATGAATATTATGTTATTTTTGTGTCATTTGATAGGTTTAGGTCTAATACGGATTTGTTACGCGTTAAAATAAAATAATCGTGCATTTCGTCAATGCCAAAGTCGTCACAATATTATTAAATATTTTTTATTATATTATATTTCCTTTCTTTCTCATTCTCAACAAAATTCAAAAAATAAATAGGAGTGTCAATACTACGAGTTTTTTTGTGCGTATAAGCGCGATCGCCGCCGAGGGTAGGCATAAAATAAGAAGTACATACATTTGATTACCTTCTTGTGTATTCTGTGCTAACGCTCCAATGCAACGTGGGTAGGTATTTATTACCAGAAATTGCTCTAGTTATCGTACTGCTCTATCTAACATATGCATTTGTAACAAACAATTTCACAGTTTTTTCTGTTCGATTGCTGTTAAGATAATGCGTTGTCTTTTCGTATAGTGTTGGACTTTTTATCCTTTGCAAATGAAATATTTCTATACATTGAAATATATAGCACTGATATATTATCGGACTATAGAATAAGCGACGCGTCACCTCGCCGGCCGTATCGTGTGAGCATACTGTTGGCGACCTGTCATGGCGCTCTGACGAGAAATCTATTTATATTCTATGTACATATTATAATATAATTACAGTTCATTATCAATTTAGGCAGTTAATAAAATTAATATTGTCACTTAATAATTATCTCAAACATAATGAATATTTGATATTGCCATATAAATTATTACAAATAGCTACGTTTTACATAACTATGGTTAGCAGATAATATTGACCGGACATGTGTCTATACATACACGTGTAATGAAGTTATGAATTAGTATTAAAATACCACTAGTAGTTAGCTGTTTCAACATTGTAAGATTAAAAAATAATATAGAATTCATAAATAACCATAAAATATAAAATTACAGGCACATATTTTTTTACAATGAGGAAGTATTTAAAAAAAAAACGAAAGCACTAAGAAAGTACCTCCACTAGATGGCGACTCTAGCAAAAGTTGATTTTTGCAGAAAACGAAGGGACCAAAGACAGTCATTTCCGTTCCTTTTAACTAACATATTAAAAAACTGAAATTTGCAAAGTTTGAAACTAAGATATCAATGCAAATACGAAAAAGTACAAATAATATATAAGTTGTTTATTGAGTTTTGAAAACTAATTTACTTTTAAACATGAAAGAAAACCGGAAGGGTTGTCATGGAGAAATCAAGAACGTACCGTAGCGACATCTAGTTTGATTTTGGGAACTTATGTTTTTTTTTAATACTTCCTCATCAAGAGCATCGTTCCTCGAGGTTTTTAGATTCACGACCGATAAAAAAAATCCCTCACTAATAACAGTCACCCATATTAATTAGACCCTCGTGGTAGTAGCACTCGGGCCGAGGCGGCAACGCGGCGACACACATTTTCGTATACACATTATTGAACACATTTAATTAAACTCGTATTATAATAACATTGAACACGACCCTCCCCCGGGAGCTGCAACTCTCAGCTCGAGAAACGATGCTTCAAATGCGAATGAAGTCATATTCTAAATCACAATTGTAAAAACAATGAAACTTAACCGTCAACAGATTAAGGTTTAAAATTGATTAAAGAAATTAAACTGTTTTACGTTACCTGATGACAAGCTGTCTACTTTACAATTGCCGTTCTTTATAATATTTAAATATTAATTTGTGTGTCACTAGAAGAGCTTTCATGTTAGTGATTGAAAATTAATTATAATCTATATTCTAAATTGATTTATACAGACAAAATGTTGAATCTACCTCAACGATTTTCGTAACTCACCTATTATTCTATGTAAATTTCGTTATTTCATATTATTTTTAAATATACATTTTAACTTAAATTCACAATATATTTACATCTAAGTTAAAGTTAGGCCTTTTAAACACTATTAAAATATACAATATATATTTAATTTCAATATTTTCTCCACTTTTACATAAATATATGACTTAGCACCATAAAATAATCAATAGATAACTCGTGAATAATAAACTAATACAAAGAACGTTTGAAATATACATGTAAACTAACAGTATCGAGTCTGTATGTACAAACAAATACAGCGCTTAGAGTATAGGCAATATATTACTTGGTAAGAGAGTAGTAGTACGCTTCTACTTGAGAGAATGTCAATAAAAAAAACTTGGCCTTATTTTTTAACTTTTTTGTTTGGCTTCACGTCGTGTTTCTTGCGTGATAGGTAGAGATCTTTTTTTATTTATATTTGATTTCTTCACTTCGCACAGATTTCAGTTCATACAATTCTAATACAGTTTTCATAACACTCGCAAAATGCAATTATTTATACTATCCAGATTTTAATGTTACGAACGGTAACTTCTATTTAAGATTTAAGAGAGAAAAGAATCGTGTCGCAATTATAAGCAACACCTCACAGCAGGTGTGCTGCACGATATTAACTTTATTTTGGTATTGACTTTGGAACCCTGTAATTTTATTAACCTGTTCACTAGGGAGCGTGTTAAGAATATGTAGTTATCGATAGTCACCGCTAGGGGCGCTATGCTGGTTCCATTGAAAAATAATTAACGCGCTCAAGATCGAAGGTGAAAGTAAACATTAAAGAACCCCCACTGAGCCATAACGTACACGATATTATGCGTATTTAAATCGAACGAGAATAGTATTCATTTCAAATACAATAACGGTTGCATTAGGAAGCACACTTCACGCGATACACGCGCTGATGTCGAGTTCGTACACCGCTACCGTAGTAGATCGGGTCGGTTTTTATATAAACAACGGACTGATCACGTTATCGTCAGTGCCTTAAGCTTGGCGGGGCTGGTTAGATATAATAGAAGTTCGACTCTTATTAAAAATTACAAAACAAGTTACATTGTAAAGTTTCAAATGCGTTGGAACTGTAGCCGCGGCTCTTAATCAGCCAACAGATGGGAACGTACCGTGTGTGGTGGTGTAAAGCTAGTACAGTTGCATGTGGTGCGTGGTGGAGCCGTCGCGCCAGGCGGGCAGCGCGGCCACGGCGGCGCGGCACAGCGGGCACGTGTGCTCGCGGTCCAGCCACGCGCTGATGCACAGCTCGCAGTAGATGTGCGAGCAGCCCAACCGCACGGGCGCGCTGTACGCCTCGTGGCAGATGGGGCACGCCTCGCCCGCCGACACCAGTTGCTCGCCCGTCGGCTTCGTGCCCAGGTTCTGGGTGATTAATGCTCCTGATTATTGAACGCGATCATGTGCCCGGACCCCTCCGCTGCGGGACTCGCTTCGATCTATTTTTTTACGGTTTCGACGCCGATTTTTTATTTACGACAGGTCGACCTCGATCTGTCCACGAAAAGACTACGTTTCCGGTGGAGCATCGGTACCGAGAGCGAAAATGTACCGTCGCAAGATAGGAAAAACATATCGAATTGACATGGAGATTCTTTCGTCTATTTTATCGATACGAGAACGACCGCACTGCCCGACCTCGCTTCGGAACGTGTTTCCGTTCGGTGAAAGTATAGGTCCGCATCGCTGATACGTATACTACTCGATGTCGCAGGGGCGAGCGCTCGGTCTGGGATACGGTTGTTGAGCTATTTTCGAAATGACCGTCCGGAAGATGGGTGGGCCTCGGAAGTAGACGTCGAGACGTCGGTTCCGATTGGATTATAGGCCCGCATAGTTGTTCACGACCCGTTCTTCTTATTCGATTCAAAGGAAAATCCGAGCCCCAGCAGAGGAGACATTAATGGACTAGTAATTATTATACGCATCTAAAAACATTTTATTAATAGGGATGACGACTGGGTAAAAAATGCAATTATATTTAGTCCGTCAGTCAGATAATAGAAAAATATTAGATACGTATTTTTTTTACTTTAATTTAACGAGAAATAGCTTAGATAACAGGCATTAAAGTTGAGGAGTGGGGGCTCGCTACGTCAGTTTTGTAGAAAACGTACCATAACATGACGTCATGCGAAATTTCAACTCCACGTATCGTCGTAATTTTATGATTACGAAAAAAATAAAAAAAACGTGTTTAATATTTTTTAACACTCTACCTGACGGACAAACAAACAAAAATTTGTCGTCATCCCTATTCAAGAACAAAAATGTAAATTGATGTTTTTTATACATATTTAGTCTTAATTAATTACGAATGTAACAGTGGTCGCTACATATTTTTGCATTGAGACTTGACTAGCATTCGGTGTAACCATTACATTATTCTTAGTAACGAGTAACACTTTACTGACAGAATTCAGCAAAGTAGATGACTTAAGAATTAAAATTAACACTGTACCTTATATCAGTAAAATTTATTTCGTATTATTATTTCGTCGTATACATATTTCGTGTCATAACGACTGTTTGTTGCCTAAATAAAGAGAAAAAAGTAAATTCTAAAAAGTTTGATACGTCTAATCAATAATTCAATTACAATTTTTTTAATGTTTCAAACCCGTGATGACCAAAGATGTCACAGTGGCAATGACCTTTGTTTGTTTACATTTTTGATCTCAAATTAGACTTCAAAGTATGCAAGAATATTGGTAGGTTACTTAAAAATGCATAATTGAGACTTACCACACTTTGTAATAATGTCCAAGTGGCGTTTTTGAACAGCCTTAACCTCACTAATATTTCTACAATTTTGGCAATGACGTAGATTGATGTCAAGAACATTCCCACCATCTTTTCTGAGCCTTCATAGGACTCCATCAGAAAGAATATCCACGGTTGGATGGTGAGTAATGAACGGTAGAGTTGTGACACCGCTTCAATAAATAAATAAATTTTCCCCTGAAACAGAATTAATCGATGTGTTATTATAATATTACGACATTGACATTTTAGATAAACAAAGGAACATTTTAAGTATAAAACAGTTACTTAAACCTTATACTATAAGTTTTAATGGAAATTTTTATAGATATTATGGTATTTCACTACTGTGTGTGTGTCTGTGTGTTCGTGCGTGCGTGCAGGCGTGCGTGTGTGTGCTCGTACGGGCAGGCTGGCGTGCGTGTGCGTACGGGCAGGCTGGCGTGCTTGCGTGCGTGCGTTTGTGTGTGTGTGTGTGTGTAGGTTTAATAGTCATTTTTCTACATTTTCCCAAAGCAACATGAATTATTAGTTCCAATTTGCTTACTAGTTTTGAAATTATATCAAAGAAATTATTTTAATATATATAAATATAATTTATTTAAATAATTACCCTCTTCTGGAATGGCAGCAGAAATGCAGGCATCATTGTGACCATAATTTTAATGTCTACAGTAATTATCTTCACTATTAAGTCAGTCAGCACAACTAGCCACAGCAGCTCCCATACATTGATGGGGTCAACATAGCTCGGGAACATTACCACATTGGGCAAAAGTATCCCATGGCCGAATAAGAAATGCACAATCACAATACAGCTGACAGTGAAAACTAGCTCACTGAATAACGCCACAAAGTTCCGATTCATTTGCTTGCCATGTTCTCTGAAAATAAATATTATATATGTTTACACTTTATTGCGAGTATTAGGACGGCAACTTACGAAATGTACCTATGGTTTTTAAAAACATACAAAGTAATCATATAAAAATATTCTTAATGAAAAATGCTTCAAAAATCTACTTTGTTCCTGACACTCTTCTAGCCCTGTTATATCCTGGTTAACTCAGTGGTTAGAGCAATCGCCCGGATTGCGAAAGGTCACAGGTTCGAGTCCCATCTCAGAGTGACAGGGACAAAGTGATTTTTTAAGTAATTTTCATTAAAAATATTTTTCCGTATAGTATTATGAATGCAAAATTGGTGAAATATAATATTATTTCTTATTATATTTTTGCCCCTAAAAGATAGAAAAAGGCATTCGCAATATTCCTTCTGAGTATAGAGGTTGAGGAGTTTGAGAGTACAGGTTAGTAGGTACTATTGCAACCATCATGTTTTAATAAACATGTTAGGCTATTGTTTCAAACTGCTTGTTGCAACTGCAATTGTTAGCAACCTTATGGTCCATTCACTCTATGTTGCTTTTCAAAGGGAATTCTCAGTTGAAAACACACAATATGTTTAAGTTTGTTTTTAGTTCTTGTTAACATAAGACATTATTGCATTAATATCTTACCTTCTCACAAGACTGTTGCTATGTGAAAATGTACAAAACAATATTATGAAGGTGAACAGTCCCTCTCTACTGTCATACATAAACTTGATAAAAAGTAGAAAATAAAATGGAGAATAGCGCATAAGCAAATTTAGAGTAGCCCTCACATCTACCACCTGGAAACAAATTTAAATTTAAGTGTATGATATATATCTTAAAATTATTTGTCACATTATGATTCATTATACTTGTGAATGATTCATTCCAATTTAGTGTAATATATACCCATACCTATTGATAATGTTAATCACTGCCTATTTACCTACAATTAAATTTACCTGATTGATTTTAAGCCTTATACTAATGCCTGATATGCAGCTGTGTGTTAAACAGATCAGATCTTTATATTCACGAAATGGATTTTCTTTAATTAAATTTTTATAATAGTCTGTGATCATATTACCTGCTGTGTGCCATCGTCACTTTGACTTTCATTATCTGCATTATCATGTATATTATTGTTATTTGCAGGGTTCACTGATACATTAATTTCAGGATTATCTTGTGCATGTTCAGACAAGTTTGACTCATTGGATGGACTGTGACTTAAGCCATGAGTTGTAGACTGAGTCCTTTGTGTTGGAGGAGTACATCGGTCTGTCACTACGTAAGTCTGAGAACTGGGTCCCAAATTGACATGTGCTATTGAGCTTTGAGGTCTTTGTATACTGCTCTCTCCATTTCTCTCTATTTGATGTGTACCTGGTGCATTTCTTGGTAACCATGTAGGAAGTGATAATCTAGCATTATTTCCCTGAGTAAAATACAGAAACATAGTTAAGAATAAATAATTTAAAATATATATGATATGATATGCAAATATTGCGTAATAAGTTCATATCAAAGGTTAAAAACATTAACAACTACTGAGAAAATAGTGCAAAAGATGTAGCGTTATTATAGCACGCCTTACCATTCGAGCGTGTTCGACTAGAGGTCTGATTTCTCTGAAGACACTGTTAAGCCGGTCCCCAAGGCCTAAGTTATTTCTATTCTGGGGCACTGGTCTGGAAATCGAGTCCAGTCTATGTAAAGCACTATTTCGCGGAGTTCCTTCAGCAGAAGTCTCTTCCTCTATATCCAAATTCACTTGATTAGGTTGCGCCATCTCTATTAACTTATTTCCTATCTACACAAAAAAAATAAACAAACAAATTAACGATTTTTATCGAGAAAATATCATTTCCAAAACATTTATAAAATTTCTTTGAAGTGCACCATAGAGATGTCGATATTCATCGATGTTGCATAAGCATCGATGTTCAACTAGAAAAATCGATGTTTTGGCATCGATGTTTATGAATAAAATGTCAATATATCCTTAGGAACAACATGCTATAGAGGTACTACTAGACTAGATGATCTCGTATATCAATACGACATCATGAACTTGATAGTTAAACTATTTTACATTTGATGTCACCGGTGTGACTCATAACTGGAGTAACCAAATAAATAGCTTTTTCTTTGCTTGTATTTTCCAAGTACGTTAAAAGTAAATCTGTCAACTGCAGCGCTCCTTGTTACAAACTCTATAAGTTACTTTATGCTTGTTGGGCTCGTTCTCTCACAGGGAGACTGACACGTGATTTTCTTATGACACTAAGGCAAGTGTGAAGCGAAAGTGAAATACGTGAATTTAAGTTGCTATATTTTGTAATTAATAATAATGAAACTTCGGATTTAAAAACACAGGTATGATAAATTATTTATTTGACTTATAATTTATTTGCCCATTAAAATTGTACTTTAAAGTAATTTAACCGATAACGTAATTCAATGACTTTTTCAATTTTATAGGTTAATTTGAGAACAAAAATAAATAAGTTGCCCGTAAGAAGATTACGATACGAATTGCTTGCTGCTTTTGTTTTGCATTGAAGGTGTATAGGGTTCAAGAAGATTCTATTTTTCGGTGTCGGGTAGCTTCGCATGTGTGAATGATGATTTATGTTAAACTAACTAAAGTCCGTCTCACGAAAGAAGACCCTCGGGTCACAATGTTTTCTCTTTTATTACAGAGGAATAAGAGTTATGCCATGGCACTCCTTTCGCGAAAGAGACTCTTTTTATTTCATATTTCAAAATAGGGATGTCGATGAACATTGATTATTTTATAATAGACGATGTTGAAAGCAAAAAAATCGATGTCTTATCAATGTTGCTATACGAAAAATAACGTAATATCGATGTTAACAAAATCAATCATCAATGTTAACTCACGGTCTCACGTAAGAATAATGCATTATTTGATAATATTAATATCAATGTAAAATTAATCGATATTATCAAAAATATCGATGATTTTGATAAAATGACAACGGATTTTTTATAGATAGATAAACACACATCATAAGAACAATTAACATATCCTGAAATAGATATTTTATTTACATGTTTATAAAAGCTGGCTCTACTCTTTACTAACAAATAAATAGAATAAGAGGTTCTTTCTTATCAAAATTAGTTTTTCTTCAATCAGTTGATAAAAAATATTGAAATATGTAATAACTAGTTCAGTTTCTTAATAAATTTGGAAAGATTTCACTGTATTTTATTTCTTTGTCAAATATTGCAACAAATCACCGATGTTTTCAAACATCAATGTTCAGTTTTCAAAAAATATCGAACATTGATGTTGGGCTTACGATGATGATATCGATATTTTTCTAATATCGATCATCCCTAGCGCATTAAAGAGTAAAGAAATTCTCTTTGGAGTAAATTATAGCAGCAATTTACTTTTTCTTCATTTATTTATGGTAGGGATGGGCTAATGGGAATAAAATATTGATATATATATATATATATATCATAACGATATTTTTTTATGTATCGATAAACATCGTCAAAAATAAATCGATATATCGATATTTTCTGCTCAATAAGCGATTAACTATAAAAATTAACAAAATATTTGAAATTTTAAAGCAAATAAACACCTGGCTGTTTTGTTATTTAAAAAAAGGTACATGAAGCCAACAAAACAACATCATCAACACAACAAAGACGTATGAGCAGACAGCAGAACTTAATAAGTATATCGATTATGATACGAATTTGATATCCGAAAATAAATATCGAAAGCCGATATTTCATTACAGCTTATAGAATATAATATAATATGTAATCTGTGTTTCGCACAACTCTTTCATGTCAAGTGAATACATTATTTTCTTCATGTAAAATGAAAATGAAAGGAAAGATTAATGAAAATTCTATCGCTGCTTAGTCAGTAACAACAATTAAATGGATTTTTGTTGTAACGATTGAGCTTAAAAATTAACTCATAATTATTGATTTTTGCTATTATTTCCGTCAAAACTTCTATTAACTAAATTTTTACCTGCCACTTTTTGCCACACGCTTATATTGAATTTCCTATGTGACTGATATACCTATTGTCAATTTGAGTCTGATCATAGTATTAGCTCAATGAGTGATAAAAGATCGCGATATTTTATTGTATATTTTTCAAGAAATTGAACCGACTCCAAATATAAATAAGCATTTCTCTCTTTTTTTAAACTTTAAAGACGTTTTCATGATTGTCAGTGATAGTGTCAGTGATATATTTTTTTTAATAAGTTACATTAATATTATAAATATCTATATAATAGCATAAAATAGATAATACATAATACTGATATTAGGTTGGGCAAAAGGTTTCTTTGCATTTTAAAGGAAAACTAGCTTTTGCCCGCGACTTTGTCCGCGTGATCAAGTTACTATGAGCAGCATTTCTAACGAATATTTATTTATTATATTGTGTAAAATACCCGAAATAAAGTTTCTTCCCCTATTTTATCCCCTTGGGGATTAAATTTGATCAAAATCCTTTCTTAGCGGATGCCTACGTCATAACATCTACCTGCATGCCAAATATCAGCCTGAACCGTCCAGTGGTTTGGGCTGTGTGTTGATAGATCACTATGTCAGTCAGTCACCTATGATTTTTTATAAGTTTATTTTCATTTAACTAAAGTATGTAAGCTTCATTTTATTCGATAATTTCTTGCTATCTTGAAGGTCTATAAGGACATAATGCCACTGCTATAGAAATGTTAGGGCTTCTGATCAAAAAACTGCGACAAGTGGTTTCAGCAGTCCTCGCGTGATGTTAACCTGACACTGCCTAAAGAATTCTGAAGTGACTGAAATAGTTGGAAATCTGAAGGTACAGGCTCAGGGGGACTATACGACGGATGCATTAACACATACCAGCCAAACTCTTTATTTTTGATGAGTGGCAAAAGATGTGTGAGGTCTACCGTTATTATGACGAAAAACCACACCCCTTCTATTGATTAATTCTAACCGCTTTTTCTGAACTTCTTGCATTAATTTCATCAGTTGGTCGAAGTAGAGTTCAGTATCGATGGTCCTGCCTGGCGGTAACAACACATAATGAATAATGCCCTTCCGATTCCACCATACACACAGCATTACCTTGTAACGAATTCACCCCAGTATCACCACAGTCTGTGAAGCCTGACCGATCTCTGATCAGGACCATTTTCGCACGTTCTTGTCGTGCGTGATCCACTTTTCATCACCAGTTATCAGCTTCTTCAGAAATGGTTCGGTTTCATTACGCCGTAATAATGAATCGCAAATGAGTACATGGTTCATGAGCTTTCTTTCAGTAAGCTTGTGAGGTACCCAATATCCAACTTTTTGTGTACTAAATTTTTTTCAAATGCGCCAAAACTGCGACAATTCCCAGTTCTTTGGGTACGTCGTAACTAATATGCCGATGTTGCTCTACTTTTTCAAAAATTGCATCCATTTTATCAGCAACAGGGCGACCGGATCGATGTGCATCTTTGACGTCAAAATTTCGGGACTGGAAGCGCCTACTCTCATAGAAACTGCACTAGGTCCATAAATGTCATAATTCTTTTTCTTTGCTTGAGTTGCATTTTTACCTTTTTGTAATAAAATTTGTAAAATGTATCGAATTCCTCCATTAACCAAATTTGAATTAGGAGTTGACTATCTTCTTTAAAATTTAAACTTTTTGATGATACCGAAACCAGCCAGATACAAATTGTATAGCCAGAAAGATTTTATTACAAGTTGATGCATACAGTATGCGAAAAGATGTTTTCCCCAACCTAATAAAAAATATCACCATTATGAGTTTTAGGAGATTCTGTTTTTTAGTTTAAGATAATATTTTTTTTTAATACGTATTCCATTCATGAGTGGTTCAAAATTCACGAATTAATCAGTGCATGTAATATCACATACCCATTGAACATAGAAATACCTTCTGCAGATCTGCCTGATTTTGAATGATTACACAATACGCTATCTTTTGTTTTTTCGCTGATTTATGCAATACATGTCGTCTATATTATTTGGTGGTATTTGGTAATATAATTCTTGTTTTGTTTTAAAAACAAAACTACTACTATGTTACTATTATTTTTTTATTTTTAACTACTATTATTTTTATTTTAGTCAAAGTTTTATAGAAAATGTACAAAAGCGTAACGTGATGGATGAGACATTTTAACTCATTATATTGCAATCGTTAATTGATTACTCAAAAAAAATAAATATACGTCGCTGTCGACCGTCGAACCTTTTCATAATTTTGTATGTTAATTATTATTAACTGAATAGAGATAATAATAGTTTTTAAGATCTTGTAATACCTATTCTTATGAAAAAAAAAAACAACTTTGACCTATGAAGTCTTTTCATATAGTAGGCTAGTTTACTTATATTTATGCAGTGTTTCGGTGGTTTCGCTTTTGCTTAATGTTTTCAATAGCTTACAAGTTTTCAGGAGTTATTTGGGAGTTTTTAACATTTTCTAGGATTCGTTTCATAAGTTTCGAGCAAAGAGTGAAGTTTGAAAAAGAGTAAAATTTTTATTTTGAGAATTGTTCGATCATTAAACCTTTGTAGGAAACATATTTTTAAAAGCATAATGCGGCCCAGTTTTTTATGTTTTACGGTGAAAATCAAATTTATTATAATTTTCACCGGTGGTTCAAACAAATAAAAAAGAAACAACCGACGGTTACTTCATAATTATTTATTTTTCAAATAATACTCGGTCAATAGACCGCAACGAACCTCTAGCTTCCGATACGACGTGCGATAAATCACTCACCGGGACAACCGCACGCGCGCACATTTTGAACGTCGTAGAAATATCGTAAATTCAGTCTTCGGTTAGGCTTCCGCCGCAATCGACCGAGGCGGGGGGGTCTCTAACGGATCCGACTCTGCTACTACGAACGAATAAAATAACGCACTCTGGGCGTGAACATCGAGAAACTACTTTCGGAATCGCTATCGTTCTCTCTGCGGCGGCCGGCAGCCTCAGGAGTCCGCGTCGGGCTTGAGCGCGAACACGCCCTGCGCGTGCAGGTCCCGGACGGCCTCCAGCAGGCGGCGCTCGGCGCGCGGCTCCTGCAGCGCCACGTCCACGCTGCCCGCGCACAGCAGCAGCGCCCGTAGCGCCGCGCGCGCCCAGTCCGCCCGCAGCGCGCGCGCCGCCGCCGCGCCCGCGCCCGCGCACCCCAGCCGCCCGCACTCCGCCTGCAGGCGGGCCCCGTACTGCTCGATCAGCGAGTCGCCGACCGCCCTCCTCGTCTCCGGTGTCAGCGACGACAGAAGCAGCAGGGCGACGTCGTCCATCGGTCTGCCCAGCGACACCATCTGCCAATCGAGGGCTATGCACTCGCTCGTGCCTTCCTTCTCCCGAAACAGGAGGTTCCCGCTCCAGAAGTCGGCGTGCGCGAGCGGCGCCGGCTCCGCCGGCCTCAGGAGCGTCCCGAGCAGGGCGGGCGCCCGGGCCCCGAGGGCGGACACGGCGGCCGCCTCCTCGACGCAGTCGGCCCGTCCCCTCAGGAACGCCTCCAGTTGGGGAAGGCCGCGCCGCACGAGCCGCAGATATCCCGCCGCGGCTCTCTCGCAGGGAAACAGGAAGTCGAATCTCCGATCGAGCGGCCCTTCCCGCTCCCTGAGCGCGAGCGAGAGCGCGTGCAGCCTGGCCGCCGCGTACAGCGCGGATCTCGCGCGCTCCTCGGTCAGGCCTCCCGCGAAGTCGGCGGGTTCGAACCCGACGGCCGTTACGTCCTCTAAAACTAGTTCACTGTCACCGCCGATTTCATCTGCGAATAACGTGCGATGAGATGAGTGAGTTGAGACTGTGTGATAAATATATTGGGTGGGTTGAAAAGAATGAGTAGGAACTTAAATGGCCTTATGGTAAACGATAGTGAAATAAATAATGAGAAGTGCTAAAAACTACTATTTTTTGGGATCTGAGCGATGCACCTTTGTGATTACTTTAGTTTATAAAGTTAAAAAAGTATGTTGTTTTTATATTTTTATTGTCTTCGACATCAGTTGTATATACCTAGGCGTTGTAGCACGCAAGCGGCAAAATATCTAGTACTCGATTAATATAAGGTGTAATAATATTATTATATGCCAGGACTTCGTGAGATGGATGAATTAAGTATACTGACCAACATAAATAATCAGTATACTTTACTCATTCACTCCAATGAGTCCTGGCACATAATTATATTACACCTTATATAAGGTCAAGATCAAAACCACAGATACCTTTAATTATTCCTCTAAAAAAAATACTATTTGTGTGAATCTATAATTGGTTCTATGCTTCATAATTTATTAATTTCCCTCCTGTAGATTTTACAATGACAATTTTAATAACGTTAACATTTTTTCGCAATCATTAAATCAATATAAACGAAATGTGGGAAATATAAAATTTAAACATGAATAATCAGAGTGAGTTTTTGAGATTGTTGTGGAGAAGCTGTTTGTTTGATATGTAGGTTATCTATTGTTAATAGTAAGCAATTAAATTAATTTTGTTAGTACTCGTATTTAGTAATGGAACTGTCAGGTCTATTAGTTACCTAAGTTTTGTTTGTATATCAATTGTAAACGACTGTTTGTTTTCCTAAATAAATAAAATAAAAAAAATCATTTTTGTTTCAATAACTGTTGATTCACCTATGAAAATAAAATAAATAAAAAATATCCCTATGTATATTAAATATTTAAAACTACGCAACGAATTTTAATGCGGTTTTTTTTCATAGATAGGGTGATTAAAAAGGAAGGTTTTTATGTATAATACAAGACCGCGCGGGCGAAGCCGCTGGCAGAAAGCTAGTATTCAATAAACAATACCATAAACATAAATCGCGCAGTTAAGTTATACAATCTCACACGTGAGGTTTTTAAGATAATAAATATAACTGTGTTAGTTATTATTTCATAATTAATAGTCGTTAGCCACTATATTAGGCCCCAGGTACCCCCAAGATCGGATTCGAATCCACAACCTTGCGCAACCCAAGGGGACTGGCGAATTTCTGAAACGCTTATTATTTTTCGCAACTAGTGATCGTATTTTCATCAACGTTAACCTGCAGCCGCCGTGTGTACGTTGACGGCAGCGGTCCCTTAATTATGTTAATTACCATGAAACTTTAAAACGACATAATGATAAATATGTCACTTGAATGTGTGTGTATATGATATGAAAAAACTATTTACTTGTTATTTAATATTATGTCAAAATAATGGAAGTAATATCGATTTATAATATTCCTTTATTATGAAATAAACTAACCTGGTAATCTGGCTTTGATGCATTTAGGGATCGGTAGCCCGGAGCCGGGGCCCAGAGCCTCATCGGCGAGCTTATTCAGCACCGGGGCTAGTTCCGTGTAGAAGAGTATCTCGCGCGTATCGAACTGAGCCTCTGCCACGAAAAGTCTTCCGAATGGATCCCTGGGCGGCAGTTTGACGACCAGGGGCAGGGCGAGCCGCTCCCCGCCCGCCTCGTACCGGAGTGTGACGGCGAGGACGCGGCTCAGCGCGCCCGCGACACCTGCCCGCGACTCCACTCGGACCTGACCAGTGCGGACGAACAAGCAAGCATTCAACGCTAGACTAATATTATTTAATTATTAGTTGAAGAAACAAAGGCGCTGAATATAAGACGCTAAAGTTTTATTGTTACTATAATTAGTGTAGAGATGGGTGTACTTGGGCTAAAAATTTCCCCCATATTTATAATTTTAACTTTAATAAAAAGCAAACATAGTAAGCATAGTTTATTTGAACTCTATTCGGTTTGTTCCTAATCATTTAGGTGTCGTAAGTGGTTAATTTTTTTTAAACCAGACCCTAATCTATTTTCATGTATCCAAATACAGACCAAAGTCAATGGTATAGCACTTAGTTAAATAGATTGATTTTTATTTGTATTCTTTTAAATATTCTGATCATTTCTACATATACTACATACATACATGTGTAAGTGAAACAAATTATACTTTTTAAGTAATATATTATGAGTAGCAGAATTAATATACGTAATAGAGAAACGTATATCGTTTCTCCAGATCTAGTGTTTAATTGGTGACTAAGTACTCAATAGTTACAGACGGAGAATATTCATAATGTATGATATACCTCATTGGCGGCGACCACGCCCGCGCCTGCGAGCAACTCCCGGGCCCACTCCTCGGTGAGGGCAGCGTCCAAATCGGGCTCCGGCACCGGTTCACAGTCGGACTCGTCGCTGTCGCTGCTGGGCGCCTCCGAAACGGCAGCGCTGTCCGGCCCCGTTTGCATCCTACCACACTCACTGATATCTATCGTCCACGCATGTCACCGCACTAAAATACTGATGTACACTACCTAGGAGTTACTATGATTTAGGATTTACTGTGGTGGTTTTATTGCAATGAATGCACCGCAGCGAGGTCCGTGGTGTAGTGGTAACGCGCATGCGCGCACATTCCTCAATTATTCATCGAGTCTCCTCTCTTGTGACGTGACGCGTGCCCTCCCCAGCCGCTCGAATGCTCTATTTAAATACACATGTATATATCTTTTTATTCCATACAAATATTGATAAGGTGGGCTTATCTCTACAAGAAATCTCTTTCAGCCAATCAAAGCCTTGTAATATGGTGAAAATTAACTAAATATTATTTACGTGAAGCAAAAAGAAATTGAAAATTTGTTCGTAAATACAAGGATCAATAAAAAAAAACAACAATAAATTAAATTGCTTGTTGTGGAATTTAATGTAAGGTATCTTTAAATATGTATTTCTATTAAATTTTACCTTATACTTGTCTTTTTATTGAACCGTTAATTTACTTATAATTATAATAGACTTGTTATATTGTAAATTGTAATTATAATTAGGTACTACTTGAAGTTGTTCAATAGGGATGATGACTAATTTTTGTTTGTTTGTCCGTCAGGTAGAGTGTTAAAAAATATTAAACACGTATTTTTTAATTTTTTTCGTAATCATAAAATTACGGCGTTACATTGAGTTGAAATTTCGCATGACGTCACGTTATGTAACGTTTTCTACTCAACTGTGACGTAGCGAGCCCCCACTCCTCAACTTTAATGCCTGTTATCTAAGCTATTTCTAGTTAAATTGAAGTAAAAAAATAATACGCATCTAATATTTTTCTATTATCTGACTGACGGACTAAATAGAATTGCATTTTTTTTTACCCAGTCATCATCCCTATTCCTACTCGACTATAGATACGTGTGTAAGAAACAATCATTTAGTGCCGATTGCTTTTTTGAATTCATAAATAGATTCAATCGATATCGGTTGCATTTCTTGAAATTGATTATCTCTAGTATTATCGACATAGCGTTGACGATGTAAGAAAAAGATCGTTATGTATATTACATCTTTTATGAGGAAGTATAAAAAAATTCAGATCTCGTAAGCAAACTAGATGCCATTTGTGTTTTTAAGTGTTGCTATTTATTATAAACTACATATTAAAATATAATAAGCAATTACTAAAATATTCAATAATACATAAATGTTATTTACAATTTTATTATATTAAAAATATTGTATTTTAATAATAAAAAAATTTACAAATGTTTACCGAATAAGTATTACTATATTTTTATTGATTCAATCCCTGTTACAAAAGTTCGATTTGACGTTTTCAACTTTAGTGGATTAGATTTTACCAATTATGGATATTAAAAATATGTTTTAATATGTAAAGGAGAACTTGTTTGTATGTAGGCTGGTACTTTATTCAAATCATCTCTAACCAAGCATAAAGTATATATTAATCGATAGAGGGTAAATAAACCTTACACATTATCATTGTATTTTATTTTTAGGGGCCGCCAAAATGTTTATTTTCTGATTTGAACATCATTTGGTGGATATTTTATAATTTATGTAACAACACATAAGTGCATTAAGAAAATCTATGGCAACCCCATCCCTAAATTACGTTCCATTTCATGCTGTGAGAAAATCTATTTGGGCAATGTGGAATCATTATTTTTATTTGCTATTTATTTTTTGTTTTAGACATCTAAATGTCAAATATGGATATATTTTAAACGAATGAAAGCTCGTCGACGCAGATTAGACCCGATTTGATTCGATTCGGTGCGTAGCTTACTATAATAAATATATAGTTATCAAATTATTAATTCGATTTTCACAATATCCCTAGTGAACGAATCATACAATAGTATGATTCGTTCACTAGGGACGCTAAGTTATAATTAGGTGCTTTGTGATAATACCCAAAACAGGCAAAGCCTGAAAGTGACGAATTAACAACAAATCAGGCATTTTGTGTCGGAAAGTTGACTTTTAAACAAGATTTTACTAAATAAAAAATAAACAAAAATATTGTATTTGTTTAATATCATTATCGGAATTTCCCCGCTTTCGTAATTTCCCCAAAGTACCCTACCGAAAGCTAGGCAATAGATAATGATTCCTTTGCCTTTGTTTTAATTTAAGGAGTTTTCTTTTTTAAATTGAATGTTAAAAAAAAATCTCCTATACATAAATATCTAATAGATACACAATCAAACTATATTTTATAACGATGGTTTTTAATTATTTGGAAATACAAATAACGTGTAATGGATTTGTTGACAAATGTCACCGTCCGTACCCATGCTATCTGAAACGAACTATAAGATCAATAAAACTACATAACTTACCTAGTTGTTATTGTTTTCAGAACTTTTGTTAAGTATTATAATGAAAAATGGGACCTGTTTTTTATATTAAAAAAAAAATATGTCACAGTAATATTATTTTATACAGTATCGAAATGCTCTTTTTTATAAATTCGCAGCAATATTCTATAGATTTCCGAAGTTTTTAAAACCCTTCACTATGCTCACTTACCTTATTTAGTTTTCATTATGTTTTGTCCAAAGAAAAAGTAAATTATTGAAATCAAAGCTTCGTTCATCATACAGTCAACAGCACGTCAGAATTTACAATGAGGAAGTATTTAAAAAAAATACATTAGTTCCCGAAATCAAACTAGATGTCGCTACGGTACGTTCTTAATTTCACCATGACAGTACTTCCGGTTTTCTTTCGGTATTCCCTTTGGACGAACGTCATGAGGTGACATTTAGATCCTTCTTCTTCTTCTTCTTTTTAATTAATGGCTTATCTGCGCATTTCGCACAATTCTGCCAATGTCAAGTAAATAAATAAATTTTTACATGTAAAATAAAAATGAAATGAATGAAAGATGGCGATGATTTTCGATTTCTCATTTAGATCCTACCATTTGTGCTTCTATCTAGTGACATTTTTTGTTGTTTCTCCTTCTTCTTCTTTTTTAAATAATGGCCTATCTGCGCATTTCGCACAATTCTGCCAATGTCAAGTAAAGAAATTAATTTTTACATGTAAAATGAAAATGAAATGAAAAAAATCTGTTGTTTCTCTACTTTTTAAGTAACGAGGCAGCTCATTGACATGACATGAATGACATTAACTGGACTGGATGTAAGATTTATGATTATGTTTTATAGCCGATATATCGATCTGGTTTGTAAACCTTATGTAAACATAATTCGTTTTATTATTGCTTCATCATAAACTTAAAAAAAAAATACTGCCATCACTGCTAATAAATGGCAGCTATTGAGTTTAGGAACAGCAACTTTGACACTACTTCCATGAAGTCGTGTTTCTACTTCATGTAATGGTGCTTATGCTTTTGTAAAAAAAAGAGGTGCAGAAGGCCACCAATGGTCATTGTGATTGGATCGGTGACAATACATTTCTATGAAATTAAGCAAAAAAAGCTACTACAAACTTCAAAGCAAAGAATCGGGGACACGCAATAATTCCTAAATGCGACGCGGTTTACTATTTAGCCTTTCGTTGAATTTCTTTGGTTGAATGTTATTATACATACATTAACTCTACGGACTTCATTGGATATTAGTATTTTTTGATATCGATATTTTTTGGGAGTCAAAAATATGTTAGCCGTTGTATTGACATCCTTGTGTTTCTTCATTGACTTTGACGTTTCTGACCACAGACCGATAACTAGTTTTTCTGACTAAAAAAAAAACCTTTTGCGGCAGAGCGTGTTTATCTGTGGTGTTTATTTTCCATCGTATCGTAGGTAGTTTGTGATATTACCGAGGGACAGGAAATCAATTAATTACATGAAGAAATTTATGCCTCCCAGTCTGATTGTATTCGGTTGTTAAATTATTTAGTATGGATAAAAAGAAATCTAAGCGACGGAGATCTACAACGGATAGTTCAAGCAGTTCAGATTCTTCACAAGAGAAAAAAAAGCTCAGGAAACTAAAGAAAAAACTGAAGAAAGAGCAAAGGAAAACTGAAAAGATTTTGAAGAAAAAACTTAAAGATGAAAAGCACAAATTGAAAAAAATTAAGAGAACGACAAGCGAAAGCTGCAGTCGGGACGACGCTGAAACACTTACAGATAGTCTCCCTGCTGATATTCCTCTTGGTTAGTTTTTGATACATAGTTAAAATTATCAACATAAAATAACAGCTAAAATATTCAACTCCGCAATTTATTATTTAAACTCATTAAATTCCTTATTTGGTAGATTTGATGGAGAGATCAAAGGCCATGGCTCCCATGACAAAAGAGGAGTGGGAAAAACGCCAAAGTGTAATCAAGAGAGTCCTTGATGAAGAAACCGGCAGATATAGGTTATCCTATCATTCTTTAATAGTTTATTTAATCAGTGGTTGCCTTGCCAATTCTTTTAACCCATATTTATTATGATATTTAATTACCATTTAAATATTCTTTGCCAAATACAATGGATTGTCATTTATATGTAACTGTGGTATTATGAGCATATTATATTTGAAAATTTACAATACTATATTTTTCATATTAAAAAACAGGTTTTTCTTATCATATAAAAAATACTGAAAACACTCGTATTGTTTATTAAAAAAATCATAAGTAGCAGCAATAACACAGTTTTAATACTCAATAGCTTTGTATATTATCTCTCAGTTGTATCTTGTTTCCAGATTAATTAAAGGAGATGGAGAGGTATTAGAAGAGATAGTGTCACGGGATCGTCACAAGCAAATAAACAAACTAGCGACACAGTCTGATGGAGCCTTTTTTCAGTCGCAGATGATTGATAGAAAACACAATTAATATATTTTAGTTTTCATCACATACAATGTATTTTCCTGAAGTGACAGGGTTCCAAAAAAAAGATAATTAAAGCTAGTGTCTGTGTCTAGTGCCATCTGCAGAGATAGTGTTGACAAGTGAGTACATTGTGTGTGTATTATTTATAATTTATATGAATGTGTATGTTCTAATAAAGAACTGAAATATAAAGTTAATTACCATTTATTTCTATTTTCACACACAAAAGTTACTAATTAATTAGTGCTGATGGTCATAAGTACAGGTTTCATGATAATTATGACCATCAGCACTAATAGGCTAGTTGCCAACTTTTTTTTTATGTCATAATTAAACAGTCCATTAACATCTGAGAAGTAATGTCGAAGTAACAGCATGTCTGTGATTAATAGTTTCGGAGATACGTGCTGTGTTTGTAGAACTGCTGCTAGTTGGCCGAAAACGCTCCCTACAAATTCCTGTCACTAAGTGACGTCACATGGTGGTAATGTAGCGAAAAATGTATGGGCGTCTGGACATTGTTTGTAATATCTTTATTATTTGTGCGTTTATGTTTATAGTTGTTATAATGAAAATTGTAACATTTTTTATATCTAATTTAATGCCTAATGTATTTTAGCAAATTTTTGTAGTAGATTTTTTTCTACTTTTTTCAAGTTTTCAAAGCGTAAAATTTTCCATATCAGTGACTTAAAATTTGTTTTGTTAAACAATTATAAGTTAAAATGGTTCATATTTTTCGAAGATATAACAAAAACCTGTATTTTCACTTGTAGGACACAAGCCTATTGCAGAATTTATGAAAATATTGATTTACATCAATAGTTGACATTGGTGGTATCCTAGTTATGAAACATATTGAAAACCTGAGGGGGCCTTGATGTACAACATAGTCTATTGACTTACTAATTGTGGTGTTGCGATGTGGATATTTTGTAAAGGGTGCATCCATACCACACTATTTATTTTGTCCCAGGTTTCCGCATCCAAATTTTTTGTATTTGTTCTTTGATATCATTTCTATTTATTATTCATTTTTTGAAAATTAAAATTTTGATTAATGCAATATGCTGTTTCTAAATGTCAGTTCATAAAAAGATTCTTCTGGTAACAACATGATTATGATCATGATTCTAGACAAACCCAAGAAAGGGTTTTTTATTAAGAATATAAATATACCAACTTATCAAGCCTAGTCAGCTGTTTCATTTTCAAACCAACAACTAGCACCAAACACACAATAATATGTGTCTGAATGACACATAAAATTCATGTCGGTGATGGGTGACTCAACGCAAAGTCACTAGAAAGAATGGAAGTGGTCCCTAAGATAGTGGGACAGAAACCACGGTAACAAGCGATTTGGCTGTAATGGTCTTATAAAATATTGCTGTCCCAGTTTACCTCCTTTGCTGGGGCCTGACAGATTAACATTAGTGATCAGCAATATGGTTTTCGCCAGAGCCGATCTACTGGGGATCTTCTTGTGTACGTCACGCACCTCTGGGCCGAGGCTATCGAGAAACACGGCGAAGCTGTTGCAGTATCGCTCGACATCTCGAAAGCCTTTGACAGGGTCTGACACACTGGTCTGTTGAGCAAACTTCCAGCATATGGTATTACCGCTGACTTTTGCGACTGGATATCTGACTTCTTGAGCGAGCGGTCGATTAGTATGGTCGTAGATGGGTGTTCCTCAGACCGCAAGGAAATCGACGCTGGAGTTCCTCAAGGGTCTGTTCTTTCAGCAACCCTTTTCCTGCTGCACATTATCGACTTGCTTATGCCCGGTATTGTTGGGTACGCAGACGACAGCAAGGTTACGGAAAGATTCATGTCTAACGCAAAAGCCACCAGTGAGGACACTCGTATCCAGAGAGGCCATGGTCGAGCGGACTAACTCGGCCCTAAGTTTCCAATGGGGGGACAACAATTTGGTCAGTTTTAACGCCACCAAAACACAGGCGTGTTTATTCTCTGCCAAAAAGAGCCCTTTCACCTTAGCTCTTTCTTTTCGTGATACAACTGTAGAAATCTCTGACGATCTTGATCTTCTTGGCATGAGGTTGTCTACAGACCTCAACTTCGGTTACACCATCGAAACGAAACCTCAAACTGCGGCCAAAAAATGGGGCATCGTAAACAGACTTAAACGATACTTTACACCAGATCAGCTTCTTTCTTTATATAAAGCGCAAATTCTTACGTGTATGGAGTATTGCTCACACCTTTGAGATGGTTCGACAAAATACCAGCTTGCCGCACTCGATTCGGTGGACCGTAGAGCCAGAAAACTTGTGGGGGATTGTAAACTCGATAACTCCAAGCTCCACAGTCTGTCTCATTGCCGAAAAGTTGCTTCACTGTCGGTATTCTACAGATTGTACTTCGGAGAGTGTGCTTTTGAGCTGCATCGGCTCATTCCGCCAGCACCTTTTTACCACCGGGAATCCAGGCGTACAGCAAATTACACGCCCACCTGGTTCACATTCCACGTATCCGAACAAAGCGCTTTGGATCATCATTTATTATGCGCACAGCCAAGTGGAATAACCTACCTGCCTCTGTTTTCCCGGTATCCTATAACCCAGGAATATTTAAAGCACGAGTGAATAGGTATCTTCTGGGCAAACTCATCCCATCTTACGCTTAATGTTATTACGCCTAAGGTCAAGAGTGAGCCCATTTCAGATAAAAAAAAAAAAATTTAAAGCATTATAAATAATTTGGTTTCCGGTAATTTAAGATCCTTTGTGGAGTAGACCAAGCACCACAACAGTCTCAGATATACATAATTTGCTTCCTGGAAGTTAATTTCTTTTTTCTAACATGCTGTCTGTTTATTATGGGTATGTTCCGATATACACTGCGAGCACAGCGCAGTGGTCTTACTGCTGAAAAATCCGTTCCGTTATGGACTGCCAGTACACTGCTACAGTACCCTAGGGAAATTTAGGACGTTATAAATTGCCGCCATATTTGTACTGTGAGCACTGGAGATTACGAGGTAAGGTGCTCGCAGTGCTTTTGATCACGTGATCAGTCGAAACAGAATCAGAAAATGATAAGTTTCTAAATAAACAAAAAAAAAATATACTTACGTTTATTATAAGATGGATTTAATTGATAAATAATTTTTTTATACACAATTTTATAATATTTTCTTTTGAAAAGAGGGAATCTATATTTATATTCACCTTGCATCAACAAATTTGAAAATGGCGCCAAAAAATAGGATTAACAGTATACTGGACTGCGTTCCGTTTTAAAAAGTCACCAGTATAACTAGCTATAAAGGAACGGGCTTCCAGTATACTAAATTGACGTCATACTGTTCAGTGGTCGCAGTGTATATCGGAACATACCCTATGACTTTATACTTTGTTTTATCTATGACGTTAGGCCGTTTGTCCACCGCCGCCGTCACCGTCACGTCACCGAGAACGAGATGACGGCGCCGAAGTAGCGGTACATACATTTACATTACATTACTTAGCCGCGTGTCCACCGCATACCGTCACCCGAGCGCCGTCATCCCGGCCCGCCGAAATTGCGAGTAGATCGGCGTGACCGCTAGATCGTCGCCCGAGATAATATAATCGAACGTAGTCGTCGACATCCTTTAGTAGTTAAAAAATTTCTTGTCCTGCTGCCGCAACTTGGCGTGGTGTACATAAAACGCCCCTGTGATGTATTGTTCACGTATTAGCGGATGAACCCAAAATTCTTTGCTTCGCCTGCGCCTTCGAAGATACAAAAGCAGTAGAAGAAGTTGTCGCCGGTTTAACCTAGCCATCACTTTATTTCTTCGTAAACGTGACGACCACGCATGACAGCTGGAATAAACTAAACCAGCGAAATCGGTCGCGGTGGACAAACGATCGCTTTTACGTCATATTAAATTCGGCCCGAAATAATCTCGTTCTCGGTGACGGTCCGGTGACGGCGGCGGTGGACAAACGGCCTTAGGCAGAAAGTATCGTAGAGTATGGGATATAATCAGCAGTCACTAGTGTTATACTAAACATTTTTGTTTCCTTTTAATAAATAATTATTAATACTTAAATAAGTTATAATTCATCTTTGGTCTTACTGTCATCACTATGGTTCTTATTATTAGTTTCCGAGGTGACAGTTTGTTCGTTCTTGGCAGCTGTGGACTCCTGCAGATGTTCGTTGACTAGAGATATGAGGCTGTCGAGGGGCCGCCCGCCGTGCTCTATGTTCACTATTTTCTTGTTTTTATACAATATCAGAGTGGGTAAGCCGTTTATCTGGGAATAGAAATATCACTATACAATATATGCATAAACAACTAAAGTTAACTGCGTAAGACAAATCTATATTTTCACATTAATAAGTTCAATAAAATACAACTAATATTTTCATTATTGTATGTAACAGTTACTCGACTACTACATACTATACTTGACTTGAGAGTTCTTTAGTTCCGCTGACGCAAAGATAAAATTAAAATAGACATATGAAACCTTTTCCGTTTCGCAGATCGGTTTCGACCGCACGCAGTCCACGTCTGCTATCAGTACACGGCTTTCGTTCTGGAACTTTTCACCCAACTTCAGCCATAACGGACCCAGCTGCATACAGTGTGCGCACCTACGGCAACGTTAACAACTTTAGAAATGTTGAAGCTGAAGAACTAAAATCTTCGTTGTTCACCAACCAACACAGTTGAGTTGTTTAATATACTATTTTTAATCGTGGCTCGTACCTACACAGGCTTGAAGGTGTCACTGTCTTCTGAGGTATCAGGATTTCGGCCGAGTCATTATAGAAAATATTTTTTCTCTGTTTTCGTTGTGTGCGTGATCAATTCCACCACCACAATCGTGGATGGAGTCGCGCCACATGAATAAGATTTATGTTCTCTGTATCTCAAGAGAACATTAATATTTTTGCTTTCTTTATTTTCTTTCAGGTATACTGTACTGATTGGTGACATTATCAAAACGACAGATTCAATAAATAAACATCAAATAAAACAATAGAAACGTGTTAATATATTACTGCTGTTAGTATGCCTTTACGTGAAAACGCCGGGTATTTTAAATATGATGTAGCTCCCGAATTAGGTGATTTTTTTTTTAGTACCGCACAGCATGTCTAATAATAGTTAACATAAGACAATATCACATTTGCCTTATTTAAATGAAGTGTGCCACTTGTATTATAGAATTTGAAATAACTAAGGTAATTAACACATATATTGGAGATAACATAGAAAACTTTCTTCATTGACCTTGCCGTAAATTGAATGGGGGGCCTTTGAGATGGCGAGACACCTAGAAATCGACGTGCGGACCATCCGGGGGCATAGCAACATGGGCATGGAAAGCAGCTACTGCAATTTTTATTTTTAAATATTTGTTAAGTGTTCATATTTATTTTAGGTTCAAACGTGATGTAGCACATCAGGTGTAAACTTTAGATATAAAAACTTTTAATAACAGGTAGAACCAACTTCAAACTTTAATAAAAGGATAACGTTATAAAAAGTTTTTATTTCATTCTTTTAGTGATATTGATATTTGTTATATAATATGTAACAATAAAAATATTTAACACAGTGAAAGTTTTAAAAATAGGAGATTTTGTTTATTTGCTTGACATAATTTTTCCGATAATCTATACCTTTTCTTATTTTAAAGAGGAGAGATTTAATTTTTTTTTTATTGGACAGGCCCCGAAACTATTGGACCGATTTATAAGTCTTTTATCTACGGGTAGCTACATAATACGCGGCGGACGTAGGCTATAATTTACGCAGGCGAAGTCACGGGGAAACAGCTAGTTTGATAGAATCTTCTGTTTTTTTAGCTGAAATGGGCTATGTTATAACATAACATCTTAATCGGCAAGGACACGATCCCTTACAAGTAATAGTTGACTATTATTTAAACTAGCGTCACGTATTACCCTGTAAACTAAAACGTCAACAGGGATGTAGCCAAGCAACCAGAGGTACGAATTTTCTTAGCAATCGGCATTAATCCTAGTGATACTGAAATAAACATTTTATTTCTTCATCACCATCAGCCCTTTTACGTCCCCACTGCAAGGGCTCAGGCCTTCCTTATGGATGGTTAAGGAGGATGGGCCATGACCCTCCACGCTGGCCCAATGCGGATTGGAGGGTATTAACGACTGCAAATGCAGCCGGGACCAACGGCTTAACGTATAATAATATATAATAATTTTTTGGTCACCCATCCCGTGACCGACCCTTGCGAAAGTTGCTTAACGACTACGATCATGGGCCGCGGCGCTAATCTACTACGCCACCGAGCTACTCTTATTTTTTTCTTATTTTTAATATATTTTTAATTTCCAAGTGGAAAATAATTAAGTCATACCATGAATGAAGTTATATTATAAGACACGTCATACCCGTACCTACATTATTGCGTTTTAAAACAGCGTTAACTTTATTATGGTAGCATAACATTATAATACAACCACAAGGGCGCGAACAAATAAAAAATATTTATCTCCCTATCAGAATCTTCAGCGCACCTCTTGTGAGAACGAGATAGACATACTTGCATAGCTTTACGCGTCAACTGCTGCATCCTCATAGAATACAATGCACGAAGATATGGCCGCGTTCAATGAACTTTTATTATTTTTATTTAAATAAAAATCTTTGAAATTATATCTTTTTTGCTTTTCTCATTGTCAATGATAATTTGTGCATTTTTACATGGAGTAAGGCTTATTTTTTTTTATTTTTCACAGAAAATTACAAGTGAAAATGATATTAGCCACAACGCTGGCTGCAATGTGATTAAAGTAAAACTCAGGAAAATTCTAACCCATCTAAATTTTTGAATACAATATTGCATACCAATTTATAGAAAAAATATTGACATGGTAGGCCATCGCATTGACACAGTCACGCCATCTAACGGAAACCCAGTTAAATATATATCTGTCAAGGTTCTCGCACAGTATCGCTAAAAATTGGAGTAATGGGACTACCTCGATCCATCAATCAAGCTGTTGAATAAAGTAGAATTTTGAAAACTGGTCAACAATTGACGAAAATATTGGTGAACATAAACATACATAGCCAGCGAACGTATAACTTCCTCCTTTTCGATATTGAAGTTAGTTAAAAGTAGAATATGACAATCCAAAATACTTTTAAAAGGTCCCTAAATTATAGATTAGATTACTTCAGTTATGATATTTTTCACTATATCTGATATTTTATAACAGTTACCGTTAAAATAAGAAAATAATATTACCATGGTGCAAAATAGTTGACAAACACCAAATCTTTCTCTAAGAAAGTTTCAAAAGTCTCTTCAGATATTCGTGCCACTGGTAATGTTTTTTTCTTTTTCATGAACTTTTCAGGGTCATGATTTTCAGCAAGCAGCATTTTTCCTATATATAATTTGAGATCTTCCAAATTATCTGCGTCAGCTACACCCATCTGCCAAAAAAATACAATAAAGAATTTACATTTTTAAGAATCATGCTGGCTGATTCTCAAATTGTATCAAATTGTCTTAAAATTTAAATCAACAATTCATTTAAACAATATATTTTATTTTATTTTACAGGAATGGAACTTACGATTCTGCCGTTGACTATCCACAATAGGTATGGATACTGTTTTATATCAAAGTTCTTACAAGTCATCTCATTTTCCATGCAGTTGACTTTGCCTATTTGTATGTATTCATTGTGTGAATACTGCACTGCTAACTCTGCCCAAATTGGGGCTAACTTCTGTAATGTAAGCATTTAGTTTTATGACCAGTCCGTTTCAAGGTTTCAATATGAGTTTCAGGGATTGATTTCCTTTCATTTTTGACGACGAACGAAACTGATCCCATCCTGAAGTCAGTGTTTTACCATTATATGTAAAGACACATATTTGCGCTTAATTCAGCGCTGTTGAGTGGGATCTTAGTGCTACTGCATTAGTTAGTGAAATGCGTGTTTAGCTCTACTATATTGCCCCGCACGGTACAAACTACGTTCTGCTCTTCGGGGATTACTTAACTTCAGTGAGTAATTTGTATGGCCAATTAAATTAATAGCCCCAGTAATTTGAAAGGTAAATAAAAATATACTAGTGTATTGCATAGTAAGTAATTTTTAGCACTAGCATAACCAAATTATAAAAATTTAAAAGAATTACAGCCCTAGGTTGTAACAGAGGTATAACATAGCCCATTTCAGCTACAATAGAGGTAAAGTATAGTATCCTCATTTTCTACAATTTTACAATTTGATCGAAAATCAGATCTAGAACCTCGGAGATGGCGACATCTTGCATGCTAACCACTCCGCCATGGATAATGTAACTTAAAAACTATCTTAAATAAATAAAATATGTTTTAGAGATTTTCATAAGGAGCCCAAACCTGAGAATATTTACACCATGGTGTATAAAACTTCACAAAATGTTGTCCATTGGATACAAATTTTTCAATATTTTGATCATTGAGGTATGCCATCCCACTGTATATCTTAACTTGGCCTGAATCTTTTACTACATCTTGCTTCTGTAAGTTGACAAAACACTTTATCTGATTCCTTCAGTACATTCAATAGACTGGAGGGTGTCAATGTTATATTTTTGAAATAAAGTTATGTTAAAAAACTGAGATATAGTTAAAAAAATAACAAAAATAAATAGAAGAACTAACTCAATAAGTATTACACTGCATGTATGTAATTCCCATTTTTCAAATATCTTAAAAAGTATGTTTCTTAGTTTATTTTTCTCATTTCATACTTTTTAAACTTTTAACTTACCTCTGACTTCATAGTAAATACTTCACTCAAAAATATAGTCAATGAAGGTAGGTCCCTCGTTCCCTTGTACTCCACTGGTGTGAAAGTATTTTTATGAAAATACAAAAGTGTTGGGTATCCTGAAACATTCATTTTTAACTGACAAAGAGTACAATGTTAGTTTTTTATTCTGCTTACAAAACTGCTTGCTATCTAAAATAGTAATTTTACAATTTTCACACAAAAGGAACTGGATTATAACCTTATAGATGTAAGTACAACATACATTTTCCAAATTATTTTTTTTTTCTCAGAAACTACAACAACTGAAATATAAAGTAATTAAATTATATTGACAATTTCTCTATTTAGAGTATTTTACGAAAAAAAGACCATTCGAAATTTTAATAAAGTTATCATAGTCTTCTCAAGAACCAAACAACAGATCCTAAGATTCATAACTGGAACATATGCGATGAAGCTGGTGTATGGTGATCGAGATGAGTTTTACAGAGCACTAGTGTAAATTTTTTTCATATTTGACTCCCAATTTTAGGAACTTAGATTTTTTTTTTAATATCGGGAGTTAATTACACCATTCAATAATTTAAATAGAAACATATTATCCAATATTTTCCTGCAGGCATGGAGCTTAGTCATTTAGTAATAGGATAGACGGGATTCATAAGTTGCAATTTTTTTTATTTGCAACAACATCTATAATCAGAGAATGCCAGATGATACAAGAAGTGTTTTTGCATTTTATGTTACAATCTGAATCTATTCAATAATAGTACATTACGATATTAGTGCGTTATGATGGTTATAACCAATACGCACGTATATCGTACGACGTTTTTTAACACATTTGCGAGGAAACAGAAAAAAAAATTAAATAAACTCAATCTGTGAATGTACACCGTTGCTTTCCTGCCATTTTAACAGCGCGCTAGCGCTGCCTACTGACTGGCGCCGCGTGGTGATTAGTTCGAAATTTGAATATCAACAGCGCGCGAAATGGCAAATAATAATGTTATGGAATTTGTATGGACTGTAACTTAACTATTTGCTCTGGTAACACACGCGTTTTTTATGACCCGCTTTACATATTTAAAACCGGTGGAATTACATCAACTTTACGAGCAAAGGTGTTAAAAAATAACTTATACAATTACAGGCAAACATCACAGGTATTCAAATTAGTTTATATACAATGATTTTAAATAGAAGAAGTAAACTATTAACATACAAGGGTGGTTTGAAAGTTCTTGGCCTGACCATAAATACAAATAAAATAAATACCTATATGTTTTATTTTACTACATATTCTCCCTTTGTCTCAACACAATCAATAAATTAGTTTACATACTACATTACAAACGTTTTAAACCACCCTCGTAACATAACATAACTCTTATCATTCCTCTTAATTTCCTGCCTTTTTTTGATGGTTGAGTTCCCATACAAACCTGCCAACACTTTATTTAATTCATGAATAAATAATTATTGTAAACTCTTCAAATATTCATTGCATTTTGCAATCAGGGATTTCATTGTTCTCAACAAAAACAGATAATAATTGAAACTTGGTTTATAAAATAATTTAGAAAATTCCATTTATATTATACAGAAAAACCTTTAATATGAAGCAGCAAATTGATTTTTAAATGGAGTTCCTGGACAAAATTATGTAATACATGTCTAACCTGTGATATCACTTTCATGACACAGTTTGAAGTGTAGGGTGCAGTCCACTTGGGCTATAGCAAGTTTGGAGTCTTTTGTGTTTATTAGTTTGCCAAGTTCATTCCAAATTGGATAAAACTCTGTACAATGTCGACACCTAGAAACATATACCTATAAGTATATTTCTTAATAATTATTAAGATAATATATTACATTATAATCAAGCATAGAATTATACACAGTGAGGCAGGATGCAACATGTGTTTGCTTTGATTTGTAACCATAAATGTAGCAATAAAATGATTATTATATTAATTCAATGAAAAACAGAATTCTTAACCTATTAATTTTATCAAAATTATCACAGATTATATCTTAAATAATTGTCATTGTCATAACAAGCATTAAAAATTCGTATTATTTATTAAGCTTCTTAATTTTGCCTCTCCCCCTAAACTAAATGTTAGATTATAAATGTTAGACATATTTATCGACACAATTAGCCTATTTGGTGATGTGATATGGCACATGATGTCTCCTCCAACATCCTTACGTTTGTATAGAAAAGGCATTCATACAGTATATTTCGAATGAATTAATTTCTATCTGAAGATTAATTAAAAATATGTGAATTTGCATGTTTCCTTGTACGTACCATGGTGCATAAAACATAACAAAATTTCCATCTAGTTCCTCTATACGGTCTTTGAAATTATCAGTATTATAATCAAACACGACACTTTCCTCTGGAGCAACAAAATAAGGTAAGAAGAGCAATATTATTAGATAAACAGGTTTACCCATTTTGAACACGGGTTTATCGTCTATACCACGGACTAGTACGTGTGATTCTATAAATAAATATTACATTTAACAATATTTATACATATACGTTTTTGAAGTTTTCAAGAAATACTCATTTTCTTTAATGAGTTTTTTTAAATAAAAATTAAAAACATCTACAACGATATAAAAACGATCTCATCTCATGGATGGACTGATTCACTTCACAGATGATGTAGGGATGGACAAAACTGATATGATAATCGATTGTTTACAGATCTATTGTTTTGAGTGGGTGCGTGCGCCTTTTTAATGGATCATATTTCTATTAAGAGTTTTGAGTTGATTGAAGAAGAATTTGCAATTAGCAATACAACTTTAAATTTTTAAACTCTGTATTTGAAGTAAATGAAAATATTTAGGTAATTTTCTTTTTTTGACAGTGACTAAAAAGCCTAGACGAAACAAACACGCTTTTCAATACTCTACCACAATCAAACACAATATGAAAAACAGGAAGCGCTATATAGATTGTAGGCGCACATTTGTAAGGCATATAGTCAGGATATTACAGCACGCCCGCTTTGGTCGGTCGCACTTCGTAAGTATAATACATATATCTCGTTTAACTTTTGCCTTAAACATTTGATAACTAGATAACGTAGCTGTATTCAGTGAAATATCAATATATAGAATCAAAAAGTAAACTTTATATTATAAGTACCAAATAAAGGTAAACAAACACTAAACAAAAGGTACATTGGTCAATAAAATATAGAAGATATATCAAATATAAAAGAAATAAGTGAGAATTCTGCACAACCAAACACAACTGTATTTAATTAAAGATATGTCAACGATCGAATTTGTTGTAGCTTTGTGATTTTTATTTTAGAAATTAATCGAATTACAAATAGTATTAATTTTAATGTAAAAGGTTACATCCCTATAATGTTGTTGTTCTTCTTCTTCTTCTTTTTTAATTCAATGTCACGTTTGTGGTCTTTACACATATAGAATCATTAATAAAAAATGTAAAATTTTGAATTTAAATAAAAAAAAAAAAAATTGCTCTGAGCGCGTCTATCTGATTACATTGTTAAAGATAATACAAATAGAATGTATATAGAAAACAAATATATTTATAAATTAAGACTATTATTGATTGCAAAGAATTTAGATAAAATTTAGATTATATTTTTGTTGTTGTTATTCAAAATCTTAAATAATGTCAAATATGTATATTTCTTGTTCTGAAAAGCAAAGAGTATACAGTTCATACAACCTAATGGATTTTGTATTTACTTAATAGACAAATCTAAGCATTTCACTTCGGAATGAGAAAATTAATAAAGGTTTTTTATATTCCTTTTATTTGGGGGGTTTTTATCATAATTGTAAACGAATTATTGTAAACGAGAGATAATCAAATATATAAGAATAGTCAAATAAAAATAATCAAGCAAGTCTTGGATACAGAATTTGTTCGTATTCGTATAATTATCTTTTGTTTTTATTTTTTTGAATGTGTCAATCCCACCATACCATACCTAATTAGTGTCCGAAATCGAAAGATCATGTTATGAAGAAAAATAAACTGACGAATTGACGTTTAGATCCAACAATTTGTGCTGCCATCTAGTGACATAAATTTTTCTAGTTTCTTTATTTTTTTTAAACTTACTTCTTCCTTAGATTTTTTTTTTATCTTTATTAAAAGTTTAAGTTTTTGTTAAAATATTTCTTTCGGCTGTTTGGGTGGATAGAACATTAATGAAAATACGCTTTGTAGGAGCGAAAAAGTAAGCACTTGTTGTGCTTGAAAAATTCGTCAGTCTTATAAGTCTTGGGTAGAGCAGTTGCCCGGGTTGCAAAAGGTCATGGGTTCGAGTTCCATCTCAGAGTACCTGGGGCAAGTGGATTTTTTTAAGCATTTTTCATTAAGAATATTTTTCAGTATAACATTGTGAATGCAAACTTGATAAAATATAATAAAAATTGTAAAGTTAATCAAATTAAACTAAATACGTCTACAATAATAATTAATAACTTGAATAAAATCATAATGTAAACACAGAATAATAACTTTTTGTTTATTATTTATTATTCTGTGTTTTCTAGAAATACAATAGCGCCATGCCAGTAAAGAAAAAAAAAATAATTCTTCAAAATGGTGGCTTTGTATGGTTTGCCAACTTGCATGTCTGTGTTTCAGCACAGTTCTTTGTTTTCGTAATACGATTGATTTAGTAAATTTTATGTTAAAGTAGGATTTGTATTTTTGTCATCAAATAAAAGTACAAAAGTATTCGTTGAAGTTGCAACTTGTGCTGTGTAAAAAAGATGTCATCGGTAATGTGAGAGCCCTCCAAGAGACTATAATTTTTATTGCATGAAAATAATCATTCTGTAAATCTTATTTGGAAAAAGAAATAACAAATAAACGGTACGTTTCAAAAACATGGTTGCATTTACCTGATTTGTTTTGTGGCTGTTCTTTTATTCTGAAAACAAAGCTGCCTCTAATTTTGGCATTCCACAATCGTATGTCACGATAGATTCTGTACTGTAGTGTTCTTTTATTTTGTTTGAGTGTCTTATGTTGCATTTTACAGAAGTGCTGTGATTGCTAATGAATTAGCATATATATTCTTGGTCTTAATGGTCGAAATATTTCCAGTTTCGAAAAGTGATGGTTTATCAAACATTTACCCTGTGACATTAACTGTTAAAGTAAACTAGAAAGTATTTAATTGTGGCTGTGAATAATACAGTAATTGTTCTTTTTATTATTTACAGACCTAATAGATTTCTTGTTCTCATTGGAAAATCGTGCAATGCTTGACTGAAGACCATATAAGAAGGTTTCAGTGATCAGTAATTGAATTGAGAAGCAATAAGATTACAAGTTAAACTCTAATAAGTGTAAAATATACCCAAATGCGAACGGTGACTGATACCTGTGTAAGGTGGTGTGTGCTTGTGTGATGGGAGGGGTGGGGTAGACAGTGAGGCGCTCGGGCGCGGGCGCCATGAACCCGCCGGCGCCCGGCAAGACGGCCACGCGCTCCTCCGGTTACAACCAGAAGGCGCTTGCCGAAATTCGAAACTCCTTACTACCATTTGCTAATATTGGGAGCTCTGATCCTCCTGGCTCATCAGCGGCAAGCACAGTAAGCTCGGGTGTGAGCTCCGGATTTAGTTCTTCCTCAGGAAATGGCTTGGATAAGGATTTAAATGTGCTTCCACAGTCCCTAAATCAGCTTATAGCTTTAGGGTATGACGAGGTATGTATTGAGTATACTGATTGAAAGAATTAGAACTGTTCTGATATCTATATGATTTTTATCTTCATCTTTTTACATTTGAGAGCAATCCAACAGCTTTCTTACAAATAATTGCCTCTGAGTTTAGAGTCTGAACTGGAATACTTGGAAACAAATATTTTAAAGTTAGGTACAGTTGTCTTACTGCACTGTTGTATCAACAATGGAAGTGGCTCACAGATGTATTTGTGCAGGAGGTTGGTTTTAAAGGATGATAAATGTTGACCAATATGAATGGTATAACACAATCAGTCCAATCATTATCCTTACCCCCCCTGAAACTGAAACACTGAGTGAAATGGACACATTATATTTTACTCTTTACATTAATGAATCAAGACTCATTTTAAACTTCAGTCCTATGTTTCATCTTCATAATCAGACCTACTGATTTGTGTAAATGAGGATGATCATAAGCTTCCAATTTCTGGCAAAGTTATTTTATTTTTTAAAGTTAACAATGTCACTTATTTTGTTATTAGCTCAATGAATATTATTGGGTTTATTTTAGAACATGGTTAAATACATGTATTATATGCTATGTATATTAATTTATGACTTACTCATAACATTCAAATATTCATTTACAACTTGTATTAATTAACATGACATCTGATGGCCTATTAGTATAAATGTTGAATATTCTTATAATTTGTTAAAATTACATCTGTGATCATAGAAGAAGGCACACAAAATGGGCACTTTTCGAACCTTGATCAAGACATGATCATTTTTGGAGAAATAGAATAGGCAGATATCATAATGTTAATTCATATGAGTAGTATTAATTATATTCTGTCCTTTTTTTTGTAATTATTAGTGTTTCTATTTGGCAAGGAAATGTTCTGTTTTATAAAAAAAGTGGATGCTCTTAAGACATTATTATAAGTTGATAATGTATTATTATTTATTATATTTATTTATTTTATAAAGACCAACAGCTAGTACACATGCATAGCGATTAAATAAAAAAATAAGCCTTTTATAGGTCCTCCCATTGACCAAAATTGTATTATTCAACTACTTAAAGGCTAAGAACTTATATTTCCAATATATTATATGTTTTTTTTTTATTATTTTAGCCTTTTTGTCATTTCTTATAATGTAATTTGTTTGCACAGATCAGATCTCTAAGCTCAGCGCGCCTTTTGGTAAAAGCTTCCTCCAGGTCTTTCCAATGATTTATATCTAGGGCTATTTGATGCCAGTAGGGGTCTGATACTTAGTGGCACTAAATAAATATATATTTTACTTCATATGCTTGGCGATTGTAAAGTACTTTGTTGATATCTTAGCTAGTTTTTGATATTGGTTAAGTATTTGGCATTTGGATTTTTTAAGATTCCATGTTCAAGTTGTATAAAAAGTTCCTGATACATTTCATCCAACATGATATAATTCCTTGATACATAATGATGCTCAGGTAGTCCATACTAATTTAGCCATGTGTTTTGATAGAAATCTTTAAAACCAATGCTAAATACTCAATTACTTACTGTATTTTGATGTGATAAAATTTTTAAAATGTAATATTGTTTTTGTACTCTACAAACAAACAATCAATCAACATCTTTATTTACATTGTATAAGGTTACAGTTTATTGTCATTTGTCATGTCTGGGTGTTGTGGTATCTTCATTGTTACAGATTTCTTGCTTTAGCAATTAAATTTAGCATTTGATTATTAAATAGTTATTGAATTAGCAAAATTTTGATATGTCATGCATGTAAATCCTTCTCACATAGAATATTTGTAGAATACTTTTGATTTGTTTTAGGATCCAGCTGTCAGGGCACTAAAGTTCACGGGAGGACGTTTAGATGCAGCACTCGATTACTTGTCGAAACAAACGGAACCTCTCAATGGAGTTCTCAAAACGAGCAATTTGAGTGCATTGAGTACTAAACTCATAAGGAAACCGAGTTTGGAACGTGATTTGCACCGCGGGAGTCCAGCGCTTGATTCTGGGGCGGGCAGTTCTAGATCGGACAGTCCGCGGCAGCCGGATGCTCCGCCGCTTCCGCACGAAAAGTTGAGTCGTCAATACTCGCCTTCGACATTTTCCGAACCCCCACCGCCACCTCCTCCGAGATGCCCGTCGACGCCCCCCGTCCCTCCGTCGGTGCAGCAGCTCATGAAGCGCATGTCCCCGGCCCCTCCCCTCCCCCCCGCCCGCGGCACGAGCCCAGTCGCAGCCGGCGCCCCCACCCCGCCGGCGCGCCAGCCGATGATCGTGCAAAATGGACCTCAAGTACAACAACAGTTGACTCAACAGATCCAAGCCTTAAATATTTATCAAACGGGCGGTGGGGGCGCCGAACTTCCACCGCCCTACCCTCTATCCGGAGTCCCCCCGCCCCCCTCCTATTCGGTGTCCATGCAGAATCGACAGAGTCCCACGCAGTCGCAGGATTACAGAAAGAGTCCGTCTTCGGGAATATATTCCGGAGGGACGTCGGCTGGCTCGCCGAGCCCCATCACGGTGACCCAATCGACCGGTTCGGCGTCGGGTATGACTCGCCCCACACCTATTCAGGCGTGGACGGCGAGACAGGCGGTCCAACCTCCCATAATAATGCAATCGGTGAAGAGTACGCAAGTGCAGAAACCGGTGTTGCAGACGGCTATAGCTCCGGTCGCCCCGCCGGCTATCTCCAGTTCGGTCGCCCAGCCGCCCCCGCCCTCGTACGCTAGTTCCATTCAGCAGAAGCAGCAGTCGCAGACTCCACCGAGCTACCCGTTGGCGCCCAAACCTTCGTCGCCGGGCTCCACGCCGCCGATCATCCCCACGGCGACCACGCCCACCGTCCCGACCACGGAGCCCCCCAGTTACGCTATCACCATGCAGACTCTCGCCGTCCAACGAGGCATGCCCATCCCCCCGCCGCCTTACGGTACTCAGAACGACAACACGACCACCGTCAACTCCCACCATTCTCCTTTACATAAAAAATTCACTAATAATTGTGATATCAAAGGTGAAACGTCTCAGGGAGTCGGCGAAATAAAGTGTCCCAATCAAAATTGTACTAACAATTTATTGAAGGACAGCTGCGTCGCGTCAGGTTCCGACAAGAGTTCGAACGGATCTTCCGAACGTCGACCGAACAAAACTTTAGAGAAAATAAGGCACCAGTCTCCTATACCCGAAAGGAGGAACATCAGTAAAGAGAAAGAAGACGAAAGACGAGATTGTAAAGTGAGAAATTACTCCCCTCAAGCGTTCAAATTTTTTATGGAGCAGCATGTTGAAAACATCTTGAAATCTTACAAACAGAGGACTTTCCGACGCATGCAGCTCGAGAAGGAGATGAATAAAATAGGGCTCAGTCCGGAAGCGCAGTGTCAAATGAGAAAAATGCTATCGCAGAAAGAGTCCAACTACATTAGGTTAAAGAGAGCGAAAATGGATAAATCGATGTTCACTAAAATAAAGCCAATCGGCGTGGGCGCGTTCGGGGAGGTGACCCTCGTCAGGAAGATCGATACTAGTCATCTATATGCCATGAAGACCCTACGAAAAGCGGACGTGCTGAAGCGAAACCAAGTCGCGCACGTCAAAGCCGAGAGGGATATTTTGGCGGAGGCGGATAACGAATGGGTCGTTAAATTATATTACAGTTTCCAAGATAAGGACAATCTATACTTTGTTATGGATTACATACCGGGGGGAGACTTGATGTCGCTGTTGATAAAGTTGGAAATCTTCGAGGAGGAGCTGGCGCGGTTCTACATAGCGGAGCTGACGTGTGCGGTGGAGAGCGTCCATAAGATGGGGTTCATCCACCGGGACATCAAGCCGGACAACATCCTCATCGATCGCGACGGCCACATTAAACTCACTGACTTCGGGTTGTGCACGGGCTTCCGGTGGACGCACAACTCGAAATACTATCAAAGAAACGGTGAGAACTTCTCTATACTTTATACTCTACCACGTTTAACTATCATCATCATCATCAGCCTTTTTAGGTCCGCACTCCAGGGGCTCAGCTTCTTTCTTATGGATGGTTAAGGAGGATAGGTTATGACCTCCCACGCTGGCCCAATGCAGATTGGAGAGTATTAACGACTGCAAATGCAGCTGGAACTAACGACTTTGTCAGTTCAGGGGTCTACCGACCGCGGAACCACAGCCTCGATCGATCTATCAGCCTGACAGATAATCAGGGTTCGGAGTGATAATTATAATTGATAAATATACTTTGATAATTATCTTAGTTATTAATAAAACACTATACAAACTCTTTTTGTACTTGTTATTAAAGAGAATACATCTTTAAACAACAGAAACATAAAAAAATTATTAAAAGGTCCCTTTTTATTTTATATATTTATTATTGATATTTTCATTTCAAGTGATTATTTTCATCATTTCTCTGTATAATTTTTGTAAATTGAAACAGCAAGAACAAAAGTAATTATCGTCATAATTATAAAAAGGAATATCTTGATGATTACGAATCCTGGTTTTTTATTATGTCAGGACAATCAGGAACTCAGGGACGCGGCAGCTGCTGGAAAACCTTTACCGATAAATATTTAATTTATTTTAAACAATATTAATGTTAAATACCTTCCCTGTACTCTATAAATGAGAGCCATCAACGCCCCGGCTCCAACCGCGCGGGCCGGGGACGGTCGAGGGCGTTAACGACTGGCCGAGCGGCATTCGCGATAGTCGCTGCATGTTCGGGCGAAGACAAGTTCAAAGCGGTCTTTTCTGACACCTAATCGATTATTTTTACCAAATCGGTGAAATAAAAATAAAAGTAATAAAACACCATTCAAGTTGTAATCTCTTTTTTTTATTTGCGACATAATAAAATACATCAATGTTAACCTTTTGTAACAACGACGCCCCTATTCGTCATGTACATTTCGGTCACATCCGCTCTGACCGGGAGCACGGCGTTTGAATATTTGCCACTTTCCAATTGAACTTTCGTGAACGTCGAGCAGTAATAAAATATAGAATATTCGGTCGGTACCTCGTGTCAGATCACGGGCGGCAAGACTCGATGGACCCCGTGGACGGGGAGTGGGGCGCGCTGGGCGAGTGCCGCTGCCACCAGCTGAAGCCGCTGGAGCGGCGGCGCAAGCGCGAGCACCAGCGCTGCCTGGCGCACTCGCTGGTGGGCACGCCCAACTACATCGCGCCCGAGGTGCTGCAGCGCACCGGCTACACGCAGCTCTGCGACTGGTGGTCCGTCGGGGTCATCCTCTACGAGATGCTCGTCGGCTCGCCGCCCTTCCTCGCCGCCAGCCCCGCCGAGACGCAGCTCAAGGTACGACGAAGGACGATTTTGAAAATCATACTACCGGTTGCTCTTTTAGGCGACCATATCTAGTACCGACAAAACTTAACAATAACGATCGAAAACAACAGAGACCCAACAAAAATTGCTTATGATCTCAACACAACCTAACTCATGAGTGCACTCGTCGACCAGTGTTTATTTGTTAACGGTACCGATTGTCGAACGCGATTACGTCACCAAAGTGGCGGCCAGGCGCCGTCATTAGGAATCTGAATCGGAATAATAACGCACACCCCGCGCAACTAACATGTTGACCTTTATGATGTACTCGAGACGGCCCCCTGATGATTCTTATTTAGTTTACCCGACGAAATTAATATTGATTGATTATTAAGTATTATGGTAAAAAAAAAACAAAAAGCATAAATAAAGGCTCCTCGACCCGGGCAAAAGTAGGGCTCGTGGAAGCTAGTGATGTGATGTTTTCCTTCTTCTTGAAATAAGTATCTACGTGAAGTCGTCAGTTATCTTCGTTTTATATCGAACACTTCGATCTATGGTTTTTTAAATATAGCGGAAACTTTACAACATCTGACATTACATTGCTTTTATTTTAGAATATCAGCACCCCCTCCCCCTTCGGCAGTTATTGCTTCAAAATTTTAATTTAAACGTCTTCTATGGAATAGAGCAGGGGTTCCCAAACTTATTTTATCTACTGCCTACTTTAAGAAGAAATTATTTTTAGCGCAACTATAATTGTAAGCTATATGAGCGGAGATTAAACATTAATTTTAAACGAAATCTTTACTATGACTCGCAAGAGTTAACTTGAAACCTGAGCACAGTAATACACAACGGCGCTCAGGTCTCAAGTTAACTCTTACGGGCTACACCTGCCAATGAAAAAAAAATATTAAAACGCAAATTTATGGTATTCTAACAGAGTATCGTTAATTCAAAATAAAACAAACATAATTGATTCTTATATAAAAATAATGTGAAGGATGAATCTGATGCTGTTTAGTAAGTCTGTCGATATCAGGTTTAGTGTTGCCAGGTCCAATTTATTATTAATCGGGACAGCGCGTGCAATTAATCGGGATTTGGAGTTGTAAATCGGGACAGACAAAAAAAAAGTATTACTACTAGTTTGGTAGCTTTTTTGCTTTCAGACATAGATAAATATAGTTAAGGGCTTTCAAAAATGTATTTGACCGTATGAAAAAAAAAATATATTTTTATAAAAATTACTTGATTTTTTGGGACATTTAGAGCCGCGGACGCGTCCCGATTTTTACCTAATTGGGACGCGTCCGCGGACCCCTGAAAATCGGGACGTCCCGCGTAAATCGGGACACCTGGCAACACTAATCAGGTTCCAATCTCCTCAGGAACAGTCGCAAGTCGCCACGTTCGGTAACGTGCTAATGATTTCTCTTTTCAGTTAACAGTGTTGCCACAGCACTAATCCACGTTTACACAAATATGGTGATGGGAATCCTATCAAAATAATTGAACGATTGATCACAATCCAGGGTACAATTGCGGGATCGGGTTTTGTAGCCAAAAGCCCTGGTAACCATTTTTGAACTTGATTTTTATTCCTCGTTTTTTTTTTTAATCTTTATTCAAATAGACTTCTTAAAAGTACTTTTGAATCGTCCAACATTTTTTTCCCTACCGACCGTTCAGTACGTCTTTTGACTGATAAGAAGAACGAACAAGAAACTCACCAGCTCTAATAGGAGTAATGACATTTACAAAAACCATGTTATTACCAGATCAATACATTATAAATAAAGAGAGAGAAAAAAAGGAAACTATGATCTTATAATGATAATATAAACAATTAATAATAATGGAAGCAAGATAATTTTTGATATATAATGAGTTTGTTGTCAATTTTATAAGTTCTTCTTCCATCTGAGGTGACATTGCTGTGTTGACATTTGAAAACGGATCAAACACCCAGTCTAGTATTTCCAAGTTCAAAATGTCCTGATATCGTTTGGTGAAGTCAATATGGAGGTTTTCCAAATGTTGGCAGTAGGCAAACGAATCGTCGTTACTGTAGGATTTTGATAAATTCGGAAAATTGAAAAAGTCACTTCTGCCCATATTCTTCTTGTGTAGAAGCAGTTTGGCTTAAATTTAGTTCATCGCCTTGCAGTTGGATATTCATGTCATTGAACAATTTATACAGGTCTGTCATGTAAGCTATATCATTCTTTGATGTAATGAGCTTGTTGTGCAATTCTGTGTGAAATGAAAATGTTTTTATTAAAGTAAGCTTGTTACAAGCACTTTTGAATCGTCCAAAAATATTTTTTCCCCTACCACTTGTTCAGGACGTCTTTTAGCTGACAAGAAGAACAAGCGAAAGAAACTTACCAGCTTTTATCATAAGTAATGAGCATTTACATAAATCATGTCATTACCAAAGTAATACATATATTGAACAATAATAAATACAAGTTTCAAAGTCTGTAGGACATAGGTTGGTACATACCTATAATTAATCGTTATAAAACAGAGCGAAGGCTATTAATTCCATGCATTGCGGTCCCTAAAATAATCATCAACTTTATAATAGCCTTTACTCATAAGTATATTCTTTACATGAATTTGAAATTTATTTATGGGTAGGTCGATTACATTTTGTGGAACTTTATTGAACATAGCAATACATTTACCCAGAAATGATCCTCTGGTTTTTTGAAGTCTGAAGCTTGGAACGGCAAGTTTATTTTTATTTCTTGTGTTAAGATTATGAACACTACTTTTTTTGTGTGAGGGAATCGTAATGTTTTCTTGTGTACATAATATTCTCATAGATGTATTGAGAGGCAACAGTCAGAATATTTATTACTTTAAATATTTCTCGTAGAGATTCCCTAGACCGTAAATTATATATAGAACGGACAGCTCTCTTTTGTAGAATAAAAATATCCTGAATGCTAGCCGCAGAACCCCACAACAATATACCATACGTCATTACACTATGAAAATAACTAAAATATACCAATCTTGCCGTTTTAACATTTGTCAAGAGTCTAATTTTCTTAACAGCAAAAGCTGCAGAACTCAGTCTACTTGACAAGCTATCAATATGAGGATCCCATTGCAGTCGGGAATCTAGTGTAATACCAAGGAACTTTGTCGATTCTACTAAATCAACTTTTTCACTATGTATTTACATTTATAAGTGTACTGACATGCCTCACATTAGGTAATGCAAACTTTATGCATTTCGTTTTATTTGAACTGAGCTTTAAATTATTATTATCAAACCACTGTAGAACATTGTCGAGAGCATTATTTACATCGTCAAAACAATCATTACCCCTCTCAACTTTAAACAGTAAAGAGGTGTCATCTGCAAATAATACTGTCTCGCACAAATTCTTCGTAAAGTGAGGAAGATCATTAATGTAAATTAGAAGAAGCAATGGTCCTAATAATAACCGATCCCTGAGGTACGCCCATAGTAATTGGTGCCGCTGCAGATTTCGCTTCATTAATTTCTACTTTTTGAATTCTAGCAGAAAGATATGATTTTATTAGATTAAGTGAATTTTTCGTCACACCATAATGCTCTAATTTCCCCAACAGTGTTTCATGACTAACGCAGTCGAATGCTTTCGACAGATCGCAAAAAATGCCAATAGCATCTTGTTTATTCTCCCAAGCATCATAGATACATTTACCTCTGCCAAACTGATTTTGGTGTCTTTAGTTTCCAAGAACTCTATCACAGAGTTAAACAGGTTGTAATATCGAGACAGACAATTGCTTCTTGAAGGCCAACGAACTTCAGTATGAAACAACAAACGGTTAAAATCCTCGTCATTAGTAACACAAAAGAGAGTACAAAAGAGCATTCGAAGAGCTGTTGCGGATTTTATTGACTGCTTTGATGACATATTGCAGTGATTGAAATAGTCGTTCATTTAAGTTTCTAGCGACCAAATGTTGTCTATGAATAATACATGGAATTTGGTTTTTTAAGTGCGCTACGAAGACACCCTTTATAGCCGGAGCGCCATCCGTATGCAACTGATATAATATTTTTCAAGGTAATCTCTTTCTCATTACAAAATTTTTCCAATGTATTGAATATGTTTTCGCCTTTTGTATCGGCCTCTAAATTTCTAACAAACAATAGTTCTTCACATATTTTCTCATCTTTAATAAACCCCACGTAAGAGAGCAACAATGCTTCATTAGTTGGTAAAGTGGACTCAACGAGTTGAATTGAGAATTGACTTGTTCTCAGGTAATCGCACAATGATCCTCCAATGTTTTCAAACATTTCATCAATTCGTCTTTGCACAGAATTATTACTCAAAGGAGATATTTCATAATCTGTGGCGGTTTATGAAGCACAGTAGTTATTACTTCCTTTATTTATTGCTGGCAAAATCTCCGATGTTATGTGGTTTGCCTTTTTGAGCAATTAACAAAGAGATATTGTACGAAGCTCGAAGTCCGTCGTCATCTTGCATAGCAGCCGTTGAAAATAGTTTTGCTACACTTGGTCGAGTATTATGCTTTTTCTCTATTCGTATCTCCGTATTATTATTTGCAAAAATAAAACCATTTTGTTAACATCAGAATAATTTGTTTCACAATAACACCACTCTTAGGAACCAAACCATACAATAAATAAGTCACTTTAATTCCAAAACAAATTTCAAATTTAGTTTCGGTACGTTATCGGTTCACCTCTTTCCTATTGATGTCTTTGTATTCCTTCTTACTGTCGTTCGTAGTTGGTAGGTGCCTACCGATGATTGTGAAACGCAAAAACGAATGGTTGCCGGTAGCTCAAAAAACGGCCGATAGCTGCTACCGATGGTTGTCGGTATATTATTGAAACCGGGGGTAAGAGGCCTCCTAGCTAAATGAAATTACAAATCACCCGACCCCCAAGCCCTTACACAAGCTTCAGTTTTTTTCTTGGTCTCTTACCGCCCCCCTTTAGGCCTGCAGCACCCACAAGGAGGTGTTATCGTCCACTTTGGGAAAGGTTGCAATAGAATATTGTTATAAAAACTGAAATTTTTCTATTGCACTTGAAATTTACTGAGGCGTCTATACATTACAGGTCATAAATTGGGAGAAAACGCTACACATACCGGATGCAGCGAACCTTTCCCGAGAGAGCAAGGATCTAATCCTGAAGCTGTGCTCGGGGCAGGAGACGAGGCTGGGCAACCACGCGAGCGAGGTGAAGAACCACCCGTTCCTCAAGAGCATCGACTTCGAGAAGGGGCTGCGGAGGCAGGTGGCGCCCTACATCCCCCGGATCGAGCACCCCACGGACACCTCCAACTTCGACCCCATCGACCCCAACAAGCTGCGCAACTCTGGCAGCTCCGACTCCAACAAGTCGGACAGTGAACTGCTCGACAACGGCAAGACGTTCCACGGCTTCTTCGAGTTCACGTTCAGGCGTTTCTTCGACGAGGGCTACACGAAGATCAACCTGGACGACAACGACAACCAGGGCCCCGTGTACGTGTGAACGTTCAGTGATATAAAGAGATACAATGAGACTAACTTGTAGGATGTTTTTTACAAAGTGTGTGCCTTTGACTCTCTCTCTATTTAAATATTAGTAGTACTCGTAAACGTAACGAACGCGTAACATAATTTAAAATTAATTAAAAAAATGAACCCAACCGTATTGTTGATAATCCCGGTGATAATGTTGTAATATTGTATCGTTGTGTATTTGTAAGGATCTTATTTCATTGTAATATATATATGAGTCGGACGGAGGCGCGGCGCCGTGCCTCCATTCTTGTATACTATTTTTGTAACTAGAGAAATTATTTATATGAGATAAGAACAAGCTTACTTGAATTAGCGAATGATTTGATATTGTCACTATATTTTCTTATGTATTTATCGAGGGTAGGTCGTTTGTGTGTGTTGTTTATATAATTTATGGAGCTATGTTAGTGGGAGGGCACGCGCGGACCGTGCTCGATGTGCCTTATACAGTAAACGCCGACCTTATACAGTGCCGCACTGGAACACTTGTTTATGATAGATCGACATCGTGTAGAGTGCAATACCTATTTATTAACATGAATCCGAATCATCCGTCGTGATGTGTAATTTAATTTATTTAAATTGAACCCGTAAAGGTGGTCGTCTCGTACCGTAATATACTATTTTATATAGTAATTTTACATGATGTAACAGTGTGTACTCTTATTGAAAGTGCCAAATAAAAGTATTTCTACATTTTTTTTTTCATACAGTAATATATTTTTGAAATGAATACTGTCGATTAGAATCAATTAATATTTTGTTTTCACTAACAAAAGGTATTTAAATAATTTAGCTACAGTAATTTGGAGATCCACCGGCTCATTCACACCCTAAAGCCTGTTTGTGAGGTTTGAAACGGTGAGTGCAGTCGAGTGTTTGAGGTGTTTGTGAGGCCCGATTGTTGTATGGCTTGTACAGTTAATATATTAATGAGTCACTTCAACCTTGAATTACGTGTTATTGAATGTAAATTGTTTTATTCACAAATGAAACGTGCTTATAAGAAGTAAATGAAAATAAAATGTGGGACTTTTGTTGATTTCTTTTGTTTAACCCCCCGCATTCAGTAGGTTGATACAAAAATTCTAGACGACTACAGTTGACTCAGGCTTGCAGTAGAAATTCTTGTACGGTTTTGTTGAAGTCTTCGGCGTGGCTTAAATGGATGTTGTGCTTTCCGTTTGGATATAGTTTCAGTCTGAAAACAAAAGTAAGTATGTAATAATTTTTGCTGAACTTTGTATAACAGGATGTGGAACAATAAATGACAAATGGTTCCCTTTATAGGATGTCAAAGGTGCTGTGCCCAACTCTTGAAAAAATTTGTTTAAAACACCTATTAACGCGTATATCGATTTTGAAGTTAATTATTGGCTTCCGATTTATTTTTCTTCTGACGTTATCTGAGTATCATATCGAAAAAGACTCACTTAGATCCAGTGATGTGAGTATGTAGATGTGAGGCGTGCGAGCTGTCGACCATCGGGTCTTTCTCTCCGTACAGTATGAGCGTGGGACATTTGACGTGCTGCAACACCTCCCCGCACAAGTTGCCCCGTTTCTCGTTGTACAATGAGATCATGCCGTCCACCCACTGGGCCCAGTATTTTGCGAATAGCTCTTCACCGTATACCTCGATCATTGGCTCCCTCGTCCGTTTCGACCAGGTATTGATATCTTTTATTTCTGCAACATTATATACAGTATACAGTAGCGGCATGAGTTGTAAATACATACAACTCATGCCGGTCACTGCGCAGAAGTCTAAATTTCGTAGCGGCAAATTCGGTAAATCAGAAACATTGAAACATTCGAGTATCGTGCCATTGGAGGATCCACCTAACTTTGTACTTTCTACCTTATAATTGTTGAAACAAGACTATCGGTTTCTCGAAACAAGATTCGGCTGCTCTGCGCAACGGAAGATCCACCGTGCGGGACATATTTAGTTGGTAGGTAGTTACTGTACAGTCTACGGCTCGTCGGTCGGTTTATACAGAATATTTTCTATTAATGTCTACATATAATTTTAACCTTAACTGCAAAAAATTTACGTATAACCGGTGTGTTGTAGTATGACAAAAAACTATCATAAAATATTTCCCTAATATGAAAATAAAAATAGGAGGGGGAGCTGATACCTACTTTTGTATACTTCCAATTCGTGAGGCAATATGAAGGCATTACTGCCCCAAACGACCAACTTATGTACGGTCTCCGGGTATTTGGCTGCGAAAATTAAGCTAGATATGCCTCCATCGCTCCAGCCCAACAAAGAGAATTTGGATATACCCAGTGTCTGTAAATGGAAAAGTTCTCTTATGATGGTACTGTGAGGTTTTTGTTTACCTGTTTGTTTAAAATTATAGAAGTTTGTGTACTTGGTTGTAGTTCTTAATGCGTTTATTGTATAGTCTAAAATCGCTTCCGGATATTACTTCCGTGTAGGTAGGTACACTAACAAAAAATTTGAGGCATTAAATAAAAAGTGTCGCCCAGTTAATATGAACGTGTCTAACATGACTGTTAAGCGTGACAAGTTACCTTCATGAACAAGTTACCTTCATGAACTCGTATGCGTATTGTGCATCCTTTTCATAGAAGTCATTAGGAAATGTTCTCTCCGGCGGGCGACTTTTGCCGTAGCCCGGAGGGTCCCAGGCCACCACCGTGAACCTGTCCCGGTCGACTCCCTCCACCTGCGGCCTGAAGTCTGTCCATATCGTGCCCAGTGCGCCGGGCATACATAATATATTATGTGGACCGCTACCCACTTTTACGTAATTGACATCACAATTACCAACTTTTATCTTTTCTTCCTGTAAGTAAGAAAGAAAGTGATACTTAGACGATCGATCTGGTGTCAAGTCATTCCGTGATCTCGATCAGATTGATGTCAGGTTCAACATGTAATGTGTAGCTTAATGCCAGATTGAAATGGATCACATATTATCCAGATATATCTCTTATTTTCATCATCAGCAGCCTGTAAATGTTCCCACTGCTGGACTACTATCGGAGGAACAGGTTTTCACGCGGACCCAGTGCGGATTTGCGGATGCAATCCGAAGTGGACCAACGCCTAAACGTGTTTTTGGATGCATGGAGGAATTTGATATAATATTTTTTTGGGTCATCCATCCATTTCTTATAGTTGCGTAGATCCAATCGTACTAACCATTGCGCCATCGAGGAATAAAAAAGGTCTTTAATTAAATATGTTATTCCGGAGGTAACCTACTAATTGTCAAACTTTTTTAGATAATGTAACGTGGAAATAACGGCCTGTAAAACGTGCAGAATATAAAAATATAATTTATTGACTGACTATTCGTAGTTTCTAATTGATATAACTAAAAATTGTTTAAATATCCCAAACCAACTGGTAGGTAACGAACATAGGTTGTCAGATACCATCTTCTTTATAAAAAAGTTAACCTGTCAGATTTATACGTTAACGCATAGTCGAAACTATTGTACCTGGAAACTTGAAATTTAGTAGGTACAGGGGTTCCTTACTATGATGTAAATAAGCACTAAGGATTTTTAGAAATTCAATCCCCGTGGAGGGTGAAATAGGGAGGGAACTGTATATGGAATTTTCTCATTTCTGGATTAAGAAGAATGAAATCTAGACGACGCGGGCATAGCCGCTGGCGGAGGGCTAGTTCTAAATATACTGCTTAATAATCGGCTATCACACTGAATTACATAGATTCTACTTATAGGTTTGCCGAACTTTCAATTTTCTCTGAAAGTATTTAAAATGTTTATTCTGTAAATTTTGTTTGTTCCCAAGTAATAAAAAATATATATATAGATGTTACCTTTGGAATACTGGATGTAGCAGTAGAATATGCAGCTCCGTAAATTATTTTGCAATTTAATGATGGTAATAGTCTGTTTAACGTTTTTATCAACATACTGAAATTGAAACAAATGAAAACAGACTGTAAGTAGCAGAGTGGTTATGTTTGTCCAAAAATATTATTTTATTATGGCTCGTTGACAAGTTATAGAAAATTCATCTTTATTTTCAACGTAGTAAGATTTCGATCTGATAAATCTTTGTAATCTTAGTAAATGATACAAAGATAACCACATTGATATGTACCTACTACTTTCTATAGAGTTATCGAATGAAGGTCAAATTAGCAAGGCTTGTTCTTGTTTCAATATTTTTGTTATATACGCTATCGACGCTCTGAAACTAAATTCCACAAGATAAATGGGTCTTTAAATCTTATTTTTACACAAACTAATTAAATTATTGTCAAAATATTTAGGGGAGACTGGGTCATTTGATCCCCCTTTTGTTTTCATCACTAATTTCATTGATATCAGCAGATTCAAACTTTACTGATGGTAAAATCATAGCAAACACACTCCTACCAATCCACAATTAAGCAGGCGTTACATATTTGACTTTGATCTATAATTCTAAGGTTTAATCAGCTATAATTAAAAATTTACCCTAAGGCACTAAGACACTACAACAGTAGGCTCGGTTTTAAGGCGGCTAATAGTGACACAAAATATTGAGTGCTAAAAACTGAGTGGTGAAATACCTGGTACTCGGAGCCGGCCGGCCCGTCCATATAAGCAAACTAGACAACGGGGAGAACGGCGGCATACCTTAAAAAATACTTTTGTTCTTTGAACGTGTTATTGCCAAAGTATCTTCTGTTATTATTAGTCTTATATTGGTTGTGATTTTTTTTTTATGGGCGTCATTCCAGTATATTGCCTGGATCGTCAAGTTTCAATGTTTTGCTTAGGACGATAATTTCGAAGTATTTTCATGGAAAGGATCATTATACTCGGAGGTTTATTGTGTCAGATGCAATGCAATCCTATTGTTGTATTTTGGGCATATCTATTCTATGATAGCAAGTATTAACAGTTGGCAACAAGTAATTTTAATTACTATTTCATTAGGACATCGACACAACTAACATTTTGAATCTATTTCAATAAACGTCGTCAAGCGAGTGAACGTATAGAGTATGAGAGCTAAGCGGCGTCTACTACTGCATGGTCTAGGGGACAAACGTAGTGTTTAAAATTGTCTTCGTAGGGGGCGATCCAGCCCGCAAACCCACCCAGCTTTTGCTACGATTCCAAGTTTTATGACGTTATAACAGTATTTTGTGATATTCGATTGGAGTAATTAGAGCGGTAAAAATATTTTGTGGTTGTTGAGATTTGCGTAATTCATTCCACCGCTCTAGGGTACGAGCGGTGAATACTCTTATACTCCATTCATTATAACATTAGAAAAAAAGAGGGTCATAGAAGCAGCAGTGCAGAACATTTTATTTTCAAGATAAATTTAAAAAATACTATTAGTTTTGTTGAAACTTTGAATGTTAGGTAGTCTGAAACAACATTTAAGTATAGCAGCTGCTATTTAAGTGGATATGTAGCAAATTAGCCGTCAGTCTTAAGAGTAACATGATTATTGATATTTTGTCACAAAGCATACCATAAATTCATGAATGACAATGACTTTACTTAATAAAAGAATGAGTTTCTAATGACGTGCGCTGCTGTGATGACGTCAATCTGGCACTAACATTATTTTTCAATTATCTCCAAAACTATACCGTATATACCGTAGCTATTTATCGCCGCTCTTCTTTTCATGGACGTGTAATATACCTAATTGAATTATAAATGGAGGTAATAATAAAAACACACAAGTAATAATTACAATTAAATTTATTTTTTAATATAAGTGATTGTAAGAAATCTAGCGTTTTAACAACTTTGTGTAGAATGTTAAATAAAAGCAGAGTTAAATTATATTTTACCAGCAACCACACACTAAACTTGTGACTATATTATTAAAATTAAAAACTTTCATGTGTGGGAAACATCTTCCCTCATGTTTAATGTAGGTATTTCATTGTCATTTAGAAACACAAATAAAATACACATATGGCTGCTGCAATATGATTCATAGTATAATTAATATGATAAATGAACGAGGGGTATGCAACAAGCATTCAGGCACATCAAGCACTCCACAGTCATCTCATTTATAAATACTAATCATACGGAATTCTCACCATCTTTATGAAAATACACTATTGTAATAAAAGCCTATATATATATCATTAAAAACCATACTATGTGTGTTCCTTACTATCTGTGAAAGATAATGAACATATTTCCATATTTGTCGAGGCACATATTCGTATTATACTATTTTTAAACTTGTCAAGTCTGAATAAGAATACAATATAACCATGTTTAAAAGTTACATCGACGTACTTATGCAGTTTCATTTTTGAAAGGACCAACAATTATATGTACGACACGACGTTAAACCTTAACGTAACGAATTAAAATCTACATTTTGAGGGCGCCGGTACTCATGATCCATCGACTTCAATTGGATCTCTACTGCGCAAACTATGCCGATGACACTTATAAAAATGATAATACTTTATTTCACTTATTCAATTTCCGTTGACACACCAGCGTCACCATTGTGATATTTAAATCTATCAGTGTATAAAAAATAACTCTGAAAACCTGATCGGTAAAGTTACACTAATTTCACGTTTTCACAGTAAAGTGATATTCACAAACACAAGTTTCAGAAACGGACAGTTCGTTAAACAAAAAAGCTTCTAATACAATATATCCTCTGCAGGAAATTGGAAGCAGCGAGCCGCAAGTTGCAGTGATGCTACATTTAGTCCAGCTCGCCGGCGTGGCAGGCGTCCTCGTAGGACTTGCCGCGTTGCTCCGGGTCGAGCTTGATCAGGTCGTCGATGCGCAGGATGGTGATGGCGGCCTCCGTCGCGAACTTCAACGACTTGACCTTGGATATGGCGGGCTCCAGGACGCCGGCCGCAAGGTTGTCGCGTAACGTGCCCTCGTTCAGGTCCAGGCCCACCCACTTCAGGTTGGCGTGCTCCACCTGACAAAACATAATCGTCAGCCCTGTTACATCTCTACTGTAGGGGCTCAAGCTTTCCTTGTGGATGGTTAAGGAGGATGGGCCATGAGAGCCTAATGCGGACTGGGTGGTGTTAACGAGTACAGATGCAGCCGGGACCAACGGTTTAACGTACCTTCCGAAGAACGGAAGTCGAGATAATAATTTTTTGGTCACCCATCTTATGACCGGCCATTGCGAAAGTTGCTTAACAACCGTGTCGCAGACCGAGCGCGTTAACCCTGAGTCCAAACATCAATGTTTAATTTCCTCACTGAAATTAATAGGTTGGTGAAGTGAATAACAATACTAAAGGAATATACTAAACTATAAACTATACTTGGGATCTGATAAATTTTGCAGGCGGTATATTGAGTGCGTCATTAAAATGTCTCGCAAGTCGTTTTTCTGCATTGGGAAACTCCCCGCATGCGGGGACCATGCGATATATCGATCGAGAGAAAATAGTCATTCGGCAGATTGCACAACCGTCTATTACAGTTGACCATTTAAAGCTCTAAAAAACGTCATGAAATTAAAAGTTTGTATTTGTAATGTAGTTTTAAAATAATGCCAATTGTAATAGATGTAGGAAAAGAAAAATTAGGTTACTTTAGACATTTGAACGGTGACGATTGTTGATTTGAAATAATGTACCTTGGTCTGCGAGGAGTTGTGGTACGCCCGCAGTTTGGCGACCAGGTCGGTGGCGTCTCGGGCCGCGTTCACCGCCAGAGTCTTCGGTATCACCAACAGCGACTGAGCGAATGCGGCTATCGCCAACTGCTCGCGGGAACTCTGCACACACACAAAATTATATTTTAAATATAAACTCATAATCATATTAACGTCACCAGAGGCCCAGGCCTTTCACGTGGATAAAATAATACGATCAGAAAGGGCCACAACAACCCACATGGCATCAGGGGGAATCAGGTGGGTGTCGACAGCTGAAGATTCTATCTAAAGCACGGAGTTCAAAATGTTAAATTTTCGGCCACCCATCTCATGATCGGCTTCTGTGAAAGTCGCTTAATCTCCGCTGTAGAAAACTGGGGAAATTTAACGTTTTTCTTAGACGTCAATTCTATTAATATTTAACGTAACAACCGCATCTCAATAGAACTTCAACGACTCGCATTTTACCAATGCACTATCTACCTGAAGCCCGACATTGTCAGTACAACGTTTTCTCACACATCAACGGTGACAGATATATCGACGCTGGAAAGCAAACAAGTAGTAACCAAATTTGTTCTTTAGAGCAGAAACACTTTTAATTTTTTCGATAAATATGCAATTCCTATAAACCTTAGTCAATTTATATGGAAAGAAAATATTTTTTTTTTGGAAAAATATAAATATTTTCCACTTTTAAATATCCATTTGGGTTTTGCAGGTTACTGTAGTGTGTGTACACACACACACACTCACTCATCACTCCTCATTATATATAAGCCAATGTAAACGTAATTAAAGACATTATTATTATAATCGCAGTCAGACTGTCATTTTATACACCCGAACCGCCAACACTGCATTAATACGCGTTTGCTTTCCAGCACGCGTAGCATGACGAGTCTACACTCAAATGTCACTTTTCTCGGGGGCGCCCATACGATATCTCACTCTCGACCCGAGAAACTGACAAATGGGAGTAGACAAAGTTTCTCGAGGTTGTCATGCTACGCGTGCAGCGTCGATATGTAAGTGATTGAGATTTTATAGAGATGCGATTGCGAAAACATTAGCACAATGAATCGGCCTCCAATAGGCAGGTGTATACCAGCGTGGTGGCGAAGTTCTCCAGGTATATGGAGAGCGCGGCCTCGACGCAGCCGCCGCCGGGCGCCAGGCGGCCCGACTCGAGCACGCGGCGCACGGCGCACAGCGCGTCGTGGGCGGAGCGCTCCATCTCGTCGCAGTACGCGTCCGTGGGCCCGCGCAGGATCAGCGACGCCGCCGTGCGGGCCACGGGCCTAGGGCACGATTGTACGTCTCAGCGACAGGTGTTACGGAACAACTCATTTTGAACTGATTTTATTGGGCCGACTCCAAATAGGTCGCATAAACGGCCATTAAATTTTTCAATAGTTTAAAACGACATTACCCATACAAATTTGACATTAATTAGAGCTTAAAGGCGTTATTAAACCTTAATGGACGTTTGTGCAACTGACCGTCAGACTGATAAATTAGAACAGAACATTATACAAAAATAAGTTTTGATACTCATCAAAATCATCGCTAGATTTTTCTTTTAACTGCATTTGTATTTTTTTTAATCGATTTTCTGTCATTGAAAATGTATGAAATCAAGCGAATGTGTTTAGTCTTGTCGAGTATTTTTATGGGCACGTAAGCTGAGTTACGAGAGGGCCTTAACAATCAAAATCGCTGTCATATATCTATACTCAAATTAGTAAGAGTGATTTCTAAAAAAGTCTATTATTTTCACCATCGGTGGCTCTAGACCAACCGGGAATAAATAAAATATGACATAAATTGTTCAAAAATAAATAAACACTCACCCCTTGATCAAGATCAGTTGGTCATCGCAAATCTGTTCTTGTACGACTTCGGCGGCTTCTCCGAACATGCTAGGTTCGAACACTTCTTCGCCTAAAACAAAAGATTTGAATATTTATAAAATATTAACCATTTGTTTCTCTATAGACAAACTGAACGATTTAAAGACAATAATTATATTTTTAAAAGGAAGAGCTTATAGTTTGACGACGATGTATTTTTTTAAATGTTTGTGCACTTCTGCCAATTGTTAACTGATCTGTCATCAGTACAGCTGTATTTTCAGTGTACTGTGATCAGCCCTGCGATTCTGTAAAAATCCAGACCCGAATTCGAATTCACTCACGTGTCCGAATTTACGTCATTTAGTGTAAAAATTCTGTTGATTCCATTTTTTTGTATAAAAATACAAAACAAAATTGATTGAATACACGTGTCTCAGATATTCTATTCCTATATAATTTCGAAACTCACTTCACTTATGCTACGAAACGTTATTACCAATTTAAAGTTAAGCGTATGCCTCTTTTTGAAGTCAATTCGGACACCTGAGAGAATTCGAATTCGGGTTAGGAGTTTTACAGAATCGCAGGGCTGTACACAGAAAATACAACTTAATGGGGTGAGGTTGTTTCATCTAAATTAAATTGTTTTCATTTTTATAACAAAAAATATGCTTTTCGACGGATATCACCACCAAATATTTTAACGACGATCCGTAAGTGAGTCGCTCGTGCGAGATCAGGCCGCATACATTTTCGCGCCACTCACCGTCCATATTAGTGAGCGAGGTCAAGAAGGCCGCTCCGGTCGCCTTGGCGATCCTCTTGAGGTCTGCCTTCTTGCACCTGCGCACGCCCATCGCGCCCGCCTCCACGAAGTACTTGAGGCAGAGGTCGTCGATGCCCCCCGAGCAGAGCACCACGTTCACTCCGGTCGCGAGGATCTTCTGCAGACGCTCCTTGGTGATGTCCAGCTCGCGGGCGCGGATGGCCTCCAGTTTTTCGGGGTCGGTGACCAGCACCTGCGAGATTATTACGCCGGGCGTACTGATTGGTTACAATTTCCACTATCGACACTTGAAGATGAGCGGCATGAGGAGCGAGCAGTTTACATATGGTACATGATTTCTAAATTAGGGGTTTCCTAATTACAGTTGATTGTATAAAACTATTAATATATTAATTTAGACGACCTCCTCAGTCATTGCCATCTCTGAGGTCCATATTCCGGGTTCGATTTTCGCTCGGGGCAATGTAGAGAAATGACCTTTTCTATTTTGTTTCAGATTTGGATGTTGTAGCACCTTCGTTGTCTCAGATACTCCATAATTTGGAATCTGAGCAATTTATGTGATGTCTGATATATTTTTTTTTACTTAAATTATTCATGCTATACTGTCATCTGTCACAGGAATCATTCTATAATGTAGGCTGCATACAAGTTTATGTTGTCAGTGACAAAGACATAACTGACAGTTTGTCAATTACGTTTTTTTCAGATTTTTGTACCGCGTATACTGGGCATGTTACAAAAAGAAAAGTAACAATATATATAATTAATAGCATACCTGCACACCCATCTTCATTTTAGTCTTTTGCAGTGAGAAATCTAGGCAGGCGATCTTCGCATTCACAATCTTTTTGGGCATGGCCTGCGATGCAACGGTGCAGTTTAACGCGTACCCTTTCACGAGGATACTCTCGCGGGCGCTGCGCCCGTGCGCCTTCAATATATTCACGGCTTTGATCGGGTAGATGGTGTTCCCTCGCGGGTCCATAGTTTTAATGGCCTGAGCTGCATCTACTATCATCTCGGAGAAGAAGTCTGAATCACTGTTATGTTTATAGTTACGGAAATCAATTTGTATAATAAAAAGTAAACGTAAGGACTTGTATTAACTATATATTTCGAAAAAAAAGTTTTAACAAATGTCTACTTTTTAAAATACTGAATTTCCCTAATTGTACATTTTAGTCATTGTTTAAAGAAAATCTTATGTTCTCGGCAACGTAGTTCTGAGTGATATGAAGAGAGAGTGATTTATGACAAAGCTTATTATATACTCATGCTCTAATTGTGACAGTATGCAAAAATAAGTGCCTATTCTCTGTGCCAAATACTATTAGCATTAACTCCGACTTTTGTACCATGGTATATAACGTAAAACTGGTCAAATAAGTTTAACAAGTGATAGACATAGTTTTAGTCAACATACATGTAAGTAGGTACAAGAATGTTACATTTGATGTAGAAGTGGGAGTCCAGATACAAAGAGTTAATAAAATGCAATATTACAAAGTCTCATAAAGAGCTCTTACTAAGTTAGTGTTAAAAGGATACGCTCCTATAAGTTTCGAGGACATTGTGGTTTTAGCTGCGTTGATGATGGACGGTCTGCCGAGAGATTCCACTGACACTGTGAGGTTATCTTGTACATATTTAACAGCTTCTTTGCACGCCAGTCTGTACCCCGAGATGATACTCGTGGGATGGATCTTATTTTTTACTAGTTCATCTGCATTCTGTACACACAAAATGTAATTGCCGTCAATATTATAAGTCCAAAACATTAACTTGATAAGTTTATTTCAATAAATACTTAAAGAAGCAAGTCAAAATAAAAACATTCAAATTTCTCCAGTAAACTTTGATATTTTGAGTTGTAAGTTCAAAATTGGAGATTTTTGACACTATTAACCTGATGTTTTGCTGGAATCGAACCAGCAACCTGATCTCAAATTTCCAGATACTTTTTGTTGTTGTTTTTTTTTTGTAAGTATATATGTAAATGGAACTATTTTAGTAAAAAGAAGTTTGCTATGGCTTTCCTAAAACAATTATTACAAAAACCATATTGAGTGATCTAATAATTGAGTAAAAAGTAGCAACCGTCAGCGTTAAGGAATACAAAGCGTTTTGCTTATTACTATTTATTACCTTTAGTAATTCGGCTGCGATGATAACAACAGAAGTTGTGCCATCTCCCACCTCCTCATCTTGAAGCTGCGCCAGTTCCACCAGGACTTTGGCCGCGGGATGCTCTACTTCTAACATTCTGTTTATATATAAATATAAAAAAAAACATTACTAACACATAAAGTGCCCATAAAGGCATCTAAGAGTATATATAAATTAAAGTCCCCATGACATTACAAAATATATAATCCTTTATCTATTATATTTATGAACAGAAAATTAGGAAATTAATATCAAATAAATTATTTTATCAATGGTAAAAGATCTTCATTGTTTTTTCACAAAGTTTACTTTAAAAAATTTCTTTTAATAATAAAATTTTTAATAAGCACAGTATTACACATATTTCAATTTCATATTCTTAAATTTTCTCTGGGTAATATCACGCCAAGGTAAAGCAATGATGTGTTTATCTAGTTTATTCTACAAACGTCAATGTTTGAAATAAGATAATTAATTTATCTGGGTCATTCCACAACAAACATGCAACTTTTGAAAGAATTTTGTCTGGAACATTTTTATAGTGATATTGATTCTATATTAATGTTTCATAGGTTATTTACTAACACTATATCTAAAGGGTCAGACACTTTATGCAGTATTTTAGAAAATATTTAGTGTTTTGTAAATTTAGGCTTTTAGGGAATGATGGTTACACCTAGGAACTGATGAACTATGATGATATGGTGAGAAACTATAAAGAATGGGGCACTCGGTACCTATTGCTGATCCTTTTTATATATTCAAAAGTGAAAAAAAAAAACAGAATTATAAATAAAAAAGCGAAATGATTGCTACTAACTACAATTGAATAAAAAAATATTACAACTGTGCTATTACCATTCACGAGCGCAATAGCAACTACTAGCTGTAGTAAAGCACCGCTGGCCATTAGCTCATTGATAATTGCCGGCAAACTCGCGCAAAAGCTAGACCGCACCCCCGCTTGCATGTACATTGTGCACGTGCCGAGCAAACATCAAAAAAACAGTTGCAAACTGTTATCGGAAGTGAGTGTACGCTTTTTTCGATTGCTGTTTCTTTACTGTTACTGGCACGATGGCTTTTTAGTTTTCATCTCGGAAGTATGTGGCTATGCTACGTGTTTATTTTTCATGGCTCCCGCACGCACCTGCGTGCGTATCTATCATATTTACACCGTGCGTATCTAAGTATTATTATTACTATCTACACCCGTATTGCTGCTTCTGCAGTATTGTATTTTCTTCAACATAAAAGACTAATCATAACATTTTTCAACATGGGTTGCCTGGAAGAAATTGCTGCCTAGCCATAAAGTCGCCTTATTTATACTTTCTTCTCTTGATTCATGTATGCGTCCTATGCAGTGTACAATAAAGAATATTATTATTGATAAAAAAACATAATCACCACTACCATACGTCGCTTTTAATTTTTCTCTTAGAATCTTATTGTGTTTTTTGCTTCAATAGTTTTGCATTGAAGCAGGTTCTGTAAGCTACCTATTTCACTGCAAAACTAATAATGTAAGGAATATCCAATTCAAATTCTACTTTTAATTGAGTTTCGCGATTGCTTGAATATCAAGCAATCGCGATATCTATGACTTGGTGCATAATAAGTGTACCTTTAGAAGCTATTAAATTCTTTTGATAACTATTTTTGATCATTTAAAGAATCATGACTTTATACCATCTTTTATGATTGAAATTTTTATTCCTATTTAATTCTCATGCAAAATGTTATCTTAACATATAAAAATGACTTATTTCTGCTTTTTGGGCAATCTTTCTATCAGTAGTTCGCTTACATATGGTCCTACACTATTTAAAAGTGATACTGAATAAATTTTCATATTTTTCCTCTTTTGCAGTAACCAATTTTGTAATAATAAAATATCATTTCATTTAGATATGATTGTCAAGTGTTTGCATTCCAAAAGTTCAGTTTCACTTTTGAACTAAAAAAATTAAAAGGAAAGGAATCGACTCATATATATTGAATAAAAATAATATAAATTATTATTATATATATGTATCATAAATTACCTATTTATTCATATTGCATTTAAATTACTTGTTTATAACTGTACATTGTATAATTATGAATTTACGGAGAATTCAAACATATTAAATTGACTATTTAAATAAAACATAATAAACATATTCCCTAACCACTACTGTCAGTCTCTAGTTTCCATTAAAACTAGGGATTGACGGTTCAGAGAATGATGATTTATAGTAAATTTGGGACACAGAATGGTAATTATTAATATATATAGTAAATCTTCCAAAATAAGTTGACAAATAACTTGTAAATAATAATGTAACAGCCAGTTACACAAACAATTAGTTGAAAGCGACGTTACCCATACAAATTTGACATTCATTATAGTTTAAAGGTGTCAATAAATCTTAAGGGATGTTTGTGCAACTGACCGTTAGCCTGATTAAACTTTAATTAATCAATAAAATCACTCACCTAAGGATTGATGGCGTCACTGGACAGGCACATGTTTGCACAAAAAGAGTTGCAATTACACTACCTTACAAAATGGCTGTTGCTAAGACAGTATTGTAAGCAGGTAAGTGCCAACCTTGGTTTTAAATTGACTAGTGTATATTCCCACTACATTAAAATGAAGCCTCAAAAATTTAAAATCAAAAAATGTCTAGGAATTGATGAAGAAAGTTACAGACAAAAGTCTAATTTGATAATATTAAAAAACACAATATTATTTTATTAGATAAGGCGAAGATTTTTGTGGAATGACCCATCTACATTGTAGTGAAATTTTGATATAATTGTGAATAAAAAAAAACAAATAAATAAAGACCAAAGCAAACTTCTTGAATGTGAAGTTTAAAATAGACAATTTATTACCTTTGCAATATAAAAAAAACTTCCTGAGTGGGTTATACATACATTTTTTTTTGTTCTGTTCTGCAGTCACATTGTAGAATCTATTTCAAGTTTACTACCTATTGAACAATATTATCACTTACTTTAAAATAGTAGCACCATCATTGGTTACTGTAACATCGCCAATGTCATCTACCAGCATTTTGTCAAGTCCCACAGGCCCGAGAGAACTTTTCACAATATTGGCTATTGCAGCTGCAGCCATTACTATAATAAAAATATAAATGCCATCTGAAAATATTTAGCTAAGAGAAAAATGCATCGTAAGGTGAATAAGGCCTTTTGCTATCGTAAGACAAGTAGGTTATTTTGCTTTGTACTTATTTTATTTCTACGACACTGGTTGATCTAACTATAATATATTCGAAATTTATCACACACAGTTTCAATTTTAGTTAATACTCATTGATTGTAATACAAAAAATATGAAATATTTACAAAAAACGAACCACACTGCAATGATACATGTGATTGTACCGGGACTTGGTACATCGCGTTCTTTTTAATAGTATTCTTACCATTTTGTGTCCTGACTGGTGCACCAGATGATCTGGTGCCGGCAACATGCAAAGGTGCAGCGAGGGTTGACATTTTTTATTTAGTAATAATGCAATTATTTTTTAAAATAATTTCTCGTCACACTTTTCGCCTTTTGTTTCTGGAATACAATGTTACTAGTAATAAATATTTTATGTGACATAAGAATGGTTTATTGCCAGTTATAAAAAATCTAATTGATCTTACATTCGTAGCGAATATTTTGTTGGCAGGAACAAACCCTTACTTATTGCCAGACAGATAAATTCAAAGAAATTAGGATATTAACAGTAGCTTCCCAATGTGGAAGTTTAAAAAAAAAACATTAGTTCCCGAAATCAAACTAGATGTCGCAACGACGTTCTTAATTTCTCAATGACAACCTTTCCGGTTTTCTTTCATTTTTAAAAGTAAATTAGTTTTCAAATCTCATATTCTATTTGTACTTTTTCGTAGTTGTATTGATATATAAGTTTCGAACTTTAAATTTCAGTTTTTTAATATAAACGGTACGGAAATGACTGTCTTTGGTCCATTCGTTTCCTGCAAAAATCAACTTTTGCTGGAGTCGTCATCATAGTAGAGATGCTTTTTTAGTGCTTTCGTTTTGTTTTTAAATACTTCCTCATTGATATTATGTTAGAAATAACATTAACAATTATATTAAATGTAGTCATGTACACAATTTTAATACTAGAAACAAAGATAAATTTCTTTTGCCGTCATGCAAGCTAATGAAGGTTCTATCAACATTTATGAAATTTTAAATTTACCATAGCCTAAATTTAAAACCCATAATAAGAATTGTCTACTCAGTAAGAATATTATACTGTTAATGAATAGTTAAACGACAAAATTGTTCGGTGTTAAATATGTCTTATTTCTATGTATATTAAATTATTTATTATACATAGAAATAAGACATATTTAACACCGGTGACCTTGTTTGACTAGTGATTCGATTGACGAAAACACTGTTTTACTTTTATATTTTCTAATATTGTTATGGAAACTGCATTCATATTCTAATGAAGTCATTTTTCAATTTTGACGCTTTGTATTAAATAAAACAGGGAGAAAAAAGCAGCCCTTGCCGAGTTTCTTGCTGGTTCTTCTCGGTACAAGGTACATACTCTCTCACGCCGTAGATTGACGAATTGATAGCGTAGGTCTAATTCATGAAACGTCTTTTACAAGTGAATAAATAATTTTGTTTTGTCATGCATGTCTGTCTGGTGCTTTCTAAGGTCTGGTATCGTATCAATTACCCTCAGATGAAATATCGAATAAATTTATGCGATTACCTATGCCGATTATTGTATCTATCTGAAATTATTTTACACTTTGAATGTTTCGCTTTTTCGCTTTCGCGCTTTTTCTAGTTACTGGCAGTAACTAGAAAAAGCGCAGTAATTTACTTCAAATTTACCCACATAAAACACAAAAACAACGTCACGCGTTCGCTTGGGGTGTTGTTTGTGTGAGTGACAGGGTGCAAATATTAAAAAAATATTTTAGTTTATTAATAAAAAAAAAATGTATTATTATAAAGCATAGTTTTAGACGAATAATATGTGTCTTTAAACTTTACGAACTTTTATGTCAAGGTGAGTAGGCATAAAGTTTCAGTTTATTTTAGAAAGTTATAAGGAAAATTATAGTTCTGACATAACCACCAGTCATCGGCGCTTTTCGTTTTCGGTTTACTCTCTATCTCCATATGCTCTCCACATAGATGTTCTTGCTCTCTCACCATCCTTGCTTGTACAGTTTCATGTCAATGAAACTAACAAGTATGTAAGAAACTTATATTTGATTAGTGGCCGCCAGCGACTTCGTCTGCGTTTTCCATTATTTCTTCGCTCCTATTAGTTGCAGCGTGATGTTATATAGTCTAAAGCCTTCCTCGATAAATGGTCTATTCAACACAAAAATAATTTTTCAATTCGAACCAGTAGTAACTGAGGTTAGCGCGTTCAAACAAACAAACTCTTCAGCTTTATAATATTAGTATAGATTTATAATCTCCTTCATAAAAAATAAAATCCTCACGTTACCTTGTTTATATTTACTTGAACATTGACATTTCATCGGTGTCACGAAGTATAACTCGAAGTCACGACACTCACATTAACATCTCATAGATTTCACGGACACACACGTCGGTGTCTTGTCACTCACATTGACGTCACATCGGTATCGCGACACTCAACTTGATGTCACGACACTGACATTACATTACTTCACATGGGTGTCACGACACTCAACTCGATGTCACAACACTCACATAGACATCGGTGTCACGATGAACACTCCACTTTTTTTTATTTTTTCCCCATCCATTTTTTCCTCTACAATCCAAAACCTAACCACTGCTTTTATTGAGCAGAACGATTTTGATATTAATAAACAGACTGGAATATGTTCCAAAAGTTAATTTTGAGAAAATCTCTAGCAATGACCAAGGAAAAGTCTACCTACTTAACTGTGGTTCAACAAAATATACAAGACTTTTCTGGAAAAGATTTTGAATTAGAAATATATTTGAATACCATGAATATTTATATAATACTAGCTGACCCGACAGACTTCGTCCTGTCAAAAAGATTTATAATGCGGCAGTTTTTTTGCCTACGTATTTAAAAAAATTCTCCTGAACAGAACCGTCACCCTGGTGATAGGGCGTTGTGAATAAAAAATAATTAAATAAAACATATATAAGGATTTAAAAGTAAGTAATCGCTTTATTGTTAATCATGTGAATCATAATTATTATTGCAATGTATTAATAGTAATAGTATTAAATATAGAAAAAAGAGATTTTTATGAACATAAAAACACATTACACACAACAGCATTATAAAAGTAAACTATTCGAATTAAAAAAATATATAAACATTCTCAAGGAAAAATGCTGGAAGAATCCATCTACCTGTACCCCGGAATGGGACTCGAACCCATTCGCGATCCAGGGACTGCTCTAACCAATGAGCTATCTAGGACCCAACAGCTTTGCTACTACAGAGCGTATTTTCATCAATGTTCCGGCAATACATGTAATGACGTGGAAACTGATGCATTTTATCTCGCGTGCCGAAACTAATACAAAAGAAACGCGAGTTTCGGAACGCGACATTAAACTCCTCCAACTATGTATTCTGTGCTCCAACGCACACACGCACATTGTTTTGATAGATATGATCTTTGACGTTAGGAACACACCTACATTGCTTAGACAACAGTGAGTGCTTGTAATTTAATATGAACTTTATACCATAGCAATAAAGCTCAAATTGACTACGTTTTAGTTACAAATCATTTGTATGGGAAAAAGAAAAGGGCTATTTTTAGGGTTTTTCCAGCAATAATTCTAATTTTTCTCGCCGTAAAAACCATCCTTGAACTTCAACGAACATTTTAAAAAAAGATTTGGCCAAATTGGTCGAGGCGTTGTTGAGTTATGCGCTTACCAACACATTTTGCGATTCATTTTTATATATATAGATGTATTACTGAGCAATGGCTCAAAAATTAGGAATTGATTACGGGTTTTCAAAATTATGAGTTCATTCTGTAGGATAAATGCCATACGAGGGGGGTCTTTAATAATATTAAATAATTATTTTAAATGTAAAGAACGGAAACATATAGGATCCCTGTCAATTGACCGACATATTGAATTGTCATGTGTGGTGTGGAACTTGAACAGCATATTATTATATGTGTATATAGACCACCTGATTAGGACTACTGTCAATTAGAAGATGCTGAGGATGCATTTAAATTAGTTTCCAAGTTGATAACAAGTAGTGATATGTGGTGATTTTATAATAAAATGTGATAAATCAAGTAGGTTTTTGAACTTGTGTAAATGTTTTAATTTAGCATTTACTCCGCATTACACCCACATCTGCTACTGGCATAGATAACATTTTCTGAAAATGTAAGGTGTTTAAAAAGTCGATAATAAACTGTATTCTATTTGACCATAGCTGAGTTCAATTAAAAACAGTTTCCTGCAAATCAGTTTCTGTTGACAGCTAGTAATTTGGAAAATATAAATAATGTCTATCACAATTTTTTAACTTGATATAGGAAGCATTTATCAAAACATTTAAACTCAAAACAATTTAGTGATAGGCTACACCTGGCATCTACTCGTACAAAAGTCGGAATAGGCTGTATGATTTTAACGGGTTAAAGTGTACCCCAACTGATCCAAAGTTTATTGAATATTTCAGAAATGATTCAACATTTTTTAGGAAGGTATGTGTTTCGGCAAAAGCAAAATATATATCGGCAAAAATATACAATTCAGAAAATAAAATAAAAACAACCTGGCCTATCATAAATCAAGCATCTGAAAAAACTAATGTAATATGCGCACATACTCATTAGAGGTTGACAATAAAGTTATTAAAATAGATGAAGCGGTTATCGATACATTTGAGAATTTTTTTTCTAAGACACCAATAGAAATCACTAAAAATCTTAGTTCATGTTCTAGACTTGTGGTTACTCATCTAGAGTCAGTTGTTGATAAGTGCAATACTGAATTTTATTATAGACTTCTTAACCACAACTCAATTATTAAAACATTTAATCCTTAATGGGATTAAATGTCCGAAGATCTTTGGAGGGTTTCAACTTATGTTATCAAATCTATAATAGCATCTTTTGCGCCTCGATTAACTTTTAGTTTTAATAAGTGCATTGATGAAGGAACTTTTTCTGATTTAATGAAATATGGTAAAATAATTCCACATTTCAAGGCAAGCGACAAGTCTGATTCCAGTAATTTTAGACCAATATCTATACTACCTGCGCTAAGTTAAGAATTAGAGATATTTACAATCAACTGCTTCCACAACTTTCGTTACATAAATTACTTCACAAAAATCAGTTTGGTTTTAGCAGAGGTAAATGTACCACAGACGCTGGAATTGCACTTCTGACACATATCTATGATGCTTGGGAGTGTAAACAAGATGCTGTCGGCATTTTTTGCGATCTGTAAAAAGCATTCGACTGTGTTAGTCATGAAACAGTATTGGTGAAATTAAAGCATTATGGTGTGTCGAAAAATTCACTTAACCTAATAAAAATAAACTTGCCGTTCCAAGCTTCCGATTT